TGCTAGCATCAAATTCTGTAATGAACACTTTTCCTGGCAACGGTTCTTTCATAAACTTGACTGTGCGATACATGTGGAAATCTGAGAATCCGATTCTCGCATTCTGAGGTTCCTTTTGAGGTCTAATATTTTCTACAAAATGGAGCCACGCTGCCACTCGAACGAACGTTTTCCCGTGGAAGTTGCCTCGAATGAATGAGACAACAAAGCTTCTACGCAGTTTTTGAAAATTTGATACTGGCATCTTGATGCATCTTTTGAATGTGTGAAGTCTGTTGCCGATTGCCGCAATGTTGGTTTAAGAATTTACATGACAAGGCCAACTCTTTTCCCAATGCAAGAGTACAAAGCCTAAGAGCAGGTACGCGGGAGCCGTCCGTCTTGCTGAAATATGGTATACTAAATGGGAGAGGGGGGGGGGAGGGAGGTGATTGTTAAGCGTAAAAAAGCATGGAGTTTGCCAACTTTTTTAGCTGTGGCGTGAATAACGGGGTTTGTGTGGGAGGCGACCAATTTTGTACCAATTTTGTGATTTGTCATAAAATTTGCTAGTTTTGTGTGAATTTTACTCGAATTTTGAATTAGTTGAAATAATGCACTGTCAGAGATGCAGGAGGGGGCGTTGGGGGTCAACCGTCCCTGTGACCTTTTGATAGGAGGGGCAAAAAAGCTAAAGTGCCCTTTTCATAGAAGTGCCCTCGACGGCGGCTTTTTGTAGGAAGTCAACGAGATTCGTATGAGACACTGATTGTAGTGCCTTATTTATGTCCACATTTCTCAAAACTTGTAAACAAATTTCTTATGCCAAAATTTAGCCGATTTTTAAGATACCGACCGACAGAAGATGTTGGTAGCTGGGCATTATTTTTCAAATGCCTTTTGACTCAAGGCTGTCTCCCCTCTTGCCCTTTGGTAAAGATGATTTCTCGGGATTTACCGATTTCTACCATAGAGTGATTTGCTGCTCGGATTTTGTCAGCTAAAATCCGAATTTTCAAGGGCAAAATTGTTTAATATTGGTTATAAATTAAGTCTTTATTTGATTTTGAAGACCGGGACAGTGCCAATTTTGTGCCTGTGACAAGGTGTTTGAAAATTTTGTCCCAAATTTATGCAGTAATGCTGCGTAAGGTAAAACAAGGAGGAAGTCAATCAAAACCATCGCTTTCCCCCAGTGGATATTCAATTTAAGAATAAGATATCATTATTAAAATTTGCTTCAAAGAATGCAATTTCCCGCGATTAAGAAGCATTAGATTATAAAAATTCAGGGCCGGCGAAACGTATTTGAAAGTGGAGGGGCCAAAATATCAAAGTCTTGGAAGGGCTTAGGAAAGGCCGCCACCATGGTTGATGGCAAGAAAAATTTCCGAATTATGGTGTCTTAGGGATGGCCAGAAATTGTATCTAAAAAGAATTTTGACTGAAGGTGTCACATATTCGCGTCTGTTGTGATGTTGACTTGAAATAGAAAAGTTTTGCAAAGTTTTAGAATAACCACTATCATATGGCTCGTAATGAACCCTTTTTGTTAGATTTTAAATAAAATGGGGGAAAAAATGAATGAAACACGGATTAATAAAAACATTAACGTTGAAATATCAACAAAAGAACCATCAACTAAAAAAAAGCAGTTTTGTACAGTTAAGATATAACTTTTTAATATCTGTTCTTAACTTTTTCGGAAATTAAGTGTTTCAACAAAAATTTGAAGAACCTTCCAACTGGGCTTCTCAAAATGAGTTTAAACAGAATTTAAAATTGCGTCGATATTTCTTTTTCTTAGTAGGAATGCATCATCCAAACTATCAAACCCTGAAGTTATCTTGATGATACTTTTTAAGAACAAATCTGCCCTTACTTTATTTCTCATATCCTCAAAGAAGTTCTTTCCAGCTGTTTCTTTTCCTTCAACAGCTGATTTTTCTCTTTTTCTAATGTTTCTGAGAAAGTTTCCGTTAACAAATAGACCTTGTGTGCCCAGAGGCGGATCCAGAGCAAATTTGAAGGAGGGCAGTTGGTAGTGGGGGCGCTGAAAAATTTTCAAAAATTGGTTACGAGAGTACGCTGTATACAACAAATTCAGATACCTTTTCAGAATAAACAACATAACTTTGAGGCAATCCTTGAAGCAAATTAACCTATCGGTCTCAGAAACTTTTTCACCTGATTCTCATTTTTCAGAAGGGGCGCACAATTTCCAAAAAAGGGGCGCCAGACTTGCTTCAACTCGTCGAGGGAGGGGCAATTGCCCCTAGTTGTCCCCGCTTAAATCCGCCACTCTGTGTGCCAAGTTTAGGCAATGGAAAAAATGAAACTCGGTCAATTTGTGATGGCACCAAGTTATTCTGGATTAAGTTTCTCGATCTATTCGCTAAGCCAAGCTGTTACTCGTTGTAAAACTTAGATAAAGACATAGCAACCAAGGTAAAACTAAGGACACATCTAAGAGTTGCCTCACTCATTTGCCCTTTGACTCCAGGATGGAGGGTTGCCTCACTCATTAAAAAACTTTCTCTTGCTCGTCTCCCCAAGGTTAGGCAAACACAACGCTGAACTTGTAGATACACTGAGCAAGGACCTTTGCGGGAACAACTTACTTTAAGAAGAATTTTAGTGTTACGGGAACTGAGGACCAATTCCCAACATTTCCAACTTTTGCCACCCCCCCCCCCCAAAAAAAGTATGAAGTGATGCCCCTGGCTGTCGAATATGGTAGGCCTGTACATTAGTAATCTTTATTTTGGAGGTAAGGTAATATCTTCTAACCGAAGTTCCGACCATTCAGATGGATTTTTAAACTCTGTTTCCAAAGGAAAAAACCCAAGATTTAAAATTCTATGGATTGCTATTTAAAATTGGAGCTGAGTCAGGTTTGCATAAAGCCACAAAGAAACCCATGAAGGAAGCTTTTATGACATATGCATATGGCAAAATCCTATCCAATATGCCCTATCATCAAACGTAACCAAATATATTTTCCAAAAGTGGTTCCAGCTTTAAAGCCCGATGCAGTTATGCTCAAGTTTAACCTTTGTATGGATACTTTGCTAAAATTACAGCAAAGACCTCAAAGAGGATAAAAATTCCAATCTTGATATCAAATCTTACCACCAGGGCTATAGGTATTGTGACAGTCAATACCTAGGTGTTCGGACGTTCACTTACGTCAAAAAGCATTGGGACAAATTTGATAAAAGGGATTCGCTATTCCGGTTTGCAACGGAAACTTGTTCAGATAAGTCCTTTTTAAATAATCTAGGCCCACGTATCCCGAAAATGTGGTAAAAAGTTAAACTTCAAGATTTGAATCATAGTCATAAAAGCATTGGGTTCTCGCAATTTCCCTGTACATAACAGCAAAGTGTGCAAAAGGCAATTACTTTAGAGATGCCCAAACGAACTCATTTTTTAGATTCACATTTGCATAACAAAGAAATTGAAAAAGGAAAATTACCAAAACAAACTATTAAGTTTCAAATAAAGCTTACCGAATCAATGAAAACTTTACAATTTTATCAAACTATTGAATTTACTCAAGCTACAATTAAGAACTATTCATAAAAAGCCGGGAAAGTTGCATTATTGATTATTTTTAAAGCCATGTTTTTACTTATTTTCCTTAATCTAACTGTTTTACATGGCAATATAACGTCTGGAAAGAATTCAAAACTACACCCCTCACGAAAGTACCCGGACAGTTCGAAGATCGATTGCGCTTTCAGACAAAGACAAATTTAGGCTGGCAAAAACGACTTTGATATATTGCTTTTGAGAAACCCTTCCATAATAAACCAGAACATTAAAAGCTGCAAAACTTCTGCGCTTTTTATCCGTTGAATTTTTTTGTTAAAATAAGAAGCCTTTGCGCTACAAGCCTTACGCAAATCAACTGATGTCAAATAAGCGGGGAACAGCAAAGTCAGGTGACTTGGACTCAGTTAAAATGGGCCAATAAAACGTGTTAAGATGGTAATGTTTTTAAAAACTGCTTCTTGAGACACAAATATTTTCGTATTTACTCTCTGTTGTGAATAATGTTTGCATGGAGATGCAACCTATCGATTATAAAACATGGATGACATTTGGTAGGACATTTTAGCAGATCATTAACTTTCTTGCAAAGAAGACACCATTCAGTGCAGAGCCATAAAGCCATATTATTTCTTTACCGCTGTAAGTCTTGCTGAAATCGGTTGGTACGAGGGTACATTCACAATTCTTTATCATTTACCTTGCAATGTTTATCGACCGTTTTTAAAGTTTAATTGTTTGTGAACATTTAAAGAAATTTTGTGTAATGATGCAAACCAATTTTGATGCAAATTTGGTTAGTGCGGGAACTCTAAGAAGTTGGTATCGCGAGAGCTCTTTTGCTTTTGAATGTGAAAAATTTTTTAGACTTATTGTTTTTCAAATTTTTTTTGCATATCTCCAAAGCGGCAGTCTTTGTGCATCCAATGATACAAGCATTTTATTATAGCTTTTTCCCATCATATTATTTCTTATCGTTATTTCTAGACACTGCTCAAAAGCCAGTTCTTTCGTTTTGGCTGCTTACAAGAAAAAATTCGAGGAAATTGATAGAAACATTTTCATTAAAATTGACTTTGAAATTTTTAAACAAATTTCTCTAACAACAAATTCACAACTGAATTAGAAACTGTCCGGAGACTTTTGTGAGGGGAGTGTATTACTTCGCAATTCTCGAATGTTATATCGAGAATTATTTCCGTAGGCAACTGCATCTAACTTGATACTATAGGTCGAGATATCTTTGCTGGAGATATCTCGTACCGGATCCTTGCTTTATTCTGTAGATTGGAAGCTACTCGTGTTTCTGAGAACATACCTGAGAATAGTGCATTTTTCTGTTTTTACCTGTTTTGTCTCTGGTTAGGTGGCAGAACAGGGTTGCTTCATAACTGCCATAGCAACTTTTAATTACCAACCCACAATTCATTAGGAGAAGTTGAATGACATTTGATGATTGGACCCAGACCCCTTCATTCCATTTGCATGTATTCACCTTGAGGGCCGACATCATAATAGTAACTGTTTTAATTTGAGAAAAGTTTTGTCATCTTCAACCTTGTATACATAAACAAATTGGAGCGAATGTTAATCAGTGTTAAATTTCAGAATCTGTCAAGCTCCCCACGGATATGGAGTAAGGTTTGCCAAAGTCATGCACGCAGTGGTTGACTGTTTGATGGGCCTACTTTGATGTGAGAGTTGTTGCCGCTACAAATCCTGGTTTGACCTTTCTTGTCGCCGGAAAAGCTGCTTAACATGTCTCATGCCGACAGTGGTTTCTGAATTCCATATGAAAACATTATGAGCAAGAAGGCAGTCGTGTTTTGTTCTTACTATGGGCTGCGATAGCAGCCGACTGAGGAAGAAAGAGGAGCCAGATCGCCCTGAGTATTTGGAACCGAAGAAAGTGATATCAACACAGCCCAAGAAAACACTCAACGGCGGACAAAAACAGAACACGACAAGGGGAAAACCGCCGAAATACCGAACCAAAATCGACTCTCGAGTTCTTGCCAAGTACGATGTAAAAGCTTTGATTGGCAAAGGCTCATTTAGCGATGTTCTTCGCGTTGAAAACAAACTTACAAAACAACCTTATGCCGTGAAGATACTGAGGTTAAAAAACCAGCATAGCAAAGAAGTGTCGCAGTCAGAGCTTCGTGCCTTGACTCGAGTAAGGCATCCTTATGTCATCCAACTTATGGAAGTATTTGAATCTAAAGAGTGTGTATACCTTGTTATGGAGCTCGCCACTGGTGGAGAATTGTACGAGAGGATAAAAATGAAAGGTCATTTGACGGAAAAGGAATCAATTCGCATATTGCAAATGGTTTTAGACGGTGTCATCTACCTTCATAGTAAGGGTATTACACATCGCGATTTGAAACCTGAAAATCTACTCTTTTACCACCCTGGTCAAGACTCAAAAATCTTAATTACCGACTTCGGTTTTGCTAAAACGGCAACAAGCGCTGAGGACAAAACGTTGTTCACAACATGGTGTGGCACGCCGGAGTACATCGCACCGGAATTGCTGTGCAAGAAACCTTATACAAACTCAGTGGATTTATGGGCGATCGGCGTAATTACATACGTGATGATAAGTGGACACCTTCCCTTTGCTGCCGAAACACCGTCGAAATTGTACCAACAAATTGTGCGAGCCAAATACTCCTATTCAAGAGAGGTAAAATTCAATCACTGTTTGTTTTTGTTTCCATTCATCGACTACTGCATTCACGTTTAATGCGTTTAAGCAAGGCTTTCTGTACAGCTTAGAATTTCAGCTTCAAGCCTTGATCTTCACGCCATTCGAATTTAGGGGCATTAAACAAGCACTTACCACTATGTTATTTTAGGACATAAAACAGTATGTAATTTGCTGACGCTAGTTCAGTAAATGCTCAGTTTCTGGATGGGGAGAGATTGTGCAGTATGAGGTAAGCATTGCCAATTAAAAGGCAAGTCAGCCTGGATTTCTTGCAAAAAATGAAATCCCATATTAATTCTGTTATTTTTTGGCTCATGGTATCAGTGCTATGCAGTGATACCATGAGCTAATTTTTTTTCAAGCCTGAAGTAGGCTTTGTTGATAGTTTGTTATAGGGTTTTTTTTCTCGTCAACATCACATAAGGAAGGCAGTGACACAAATTGATTTTTGGTTTCAGCTTTGATCTGGGGCTGTTCGTATGGGAAATTATCATCCCACCTGCAAGGATGTAAATTTTAGTCCTAGTATCACCTTATCCTATTTTCTTGTATAAATTTGTTTGCTGTTAATATGGTTAGGTATGCAGCACTGCCTTTTACGAATGGTTATTTGGATACTAGCTGAGTTAGTGGGTTGGCTGGGAATAGTTATCTGTATGAATGAACAGGGTATCCCACCTACCAGAAGGAAAATGTGAAACTCCCATTGCACAGGAATCTTTGTGACAAAATTAGATCATATCAAATAAATTTTTTTTTCTTCAAAAAGGAAAAGGTTTTCTCAAGCAATTTTTGGTGGTACAAGATATTAAAATCACTTTTTTGGTCCAACCCTTTTTGGAGTTTAGAATGTCAGAATAATTAATGAAAGCTCTAAGCTTGGCAATATTAATGCTAACCTGGTTATATATGTTTCAATTAGCATTTCTAGGTGGCAATATTCTTATTTACTCTAAGCAATATTCTAAGCAGTGTTTGAAGAGAAGCTTAAGTATATATAAAAACGTTTACTTTTCCAAAGCCACTTCTAAAAATTTTGTCAGGTGATCACAAGCCAAAAATTTTCTAGCTTATCCCAAAAACAGCATAAAATTTTCTTGTAGTATAGACCTTAGGACATAGATTTTAAAAAAGGGTTGTTGTCAAAGTGGAATGGAGATAAGTGGGTTTTTTTAAATAGAAACATATTTTTGTCTCATGATATATTTCACATCTAATGTGCTCCATTGATTGAACAAGTCGTAAAGCCAGAAGTATGTTTCTCTTGGTTCTCACAAATTTTATGAGAGAATTGGTGGTGGGAGGATATAGGTTAGTTTATTTATTTATTTTCAGTCTTTGAGGGGGAGGCTTAAATGAGAGAGGGCTAATCAGAAAAAGAGGGCTTATTAAAAATTTGAAGTAAAAAATATTATTAAAATATCCTTGTATATAATTTTGTTATAAAAATGTCTAGAGAGAGGGGGCTTGATAGAGCTTTTACGGTAAGTATCCTTGGTAAAAAAGGTATGATTTCTGAGAAAGTTTATGGCAGGGGTGGACACTTGGTCAGATATTGGGGGGAGGAGCAAGCCTATTGTTTTGATTAGATGATGTTACATTTCCCCATTGTTGTAGAAAAAAAGACCGTTTCCCTCCAAAGTATTGGGCAGAGCAACCAACCCCTCACCCCCCAGGTGTCCACCATTGGTTTTTGGTGCAAGAAAAATCATCCTCCAGGTTCAGAAGCCTTTTTGGTTTGGGAGGCAATGGCAGGATTCTTCTTGCATTAACTTTATAATTTGAAGTAAGGTTCAAACATCATTAAGGGGGTTTTAGAAAAAGGGTACGCAAACCACTAAATAATTTTAGTGGTACGCAATAATTTTAGTTTTGAAGTTCACAAAGTTTATCTTGTCAAAATTTAAGCTCAAAGATCATTCCATGTGAACTCAACATGGGAAGAACATAAACCACTCTCTGTTTCTTTGAATTGGGCCCATTGATTGATATCATTAAAACATGAAGGCTGTATTTTTTTATCCTTATCTGGGCTTCCCTCTCCTCGCTATTTCTTACCTCTTTCAAATTGATTTGCAGCCCACCTCCCTGTAAGACAGCAGAAACATATTCTGTGGTAAATAGATAAATATTCAGTTCAGTTTTTTTTTGTTTTAAATTCCACTACAAACAAATACTCAAAATATTAAACAACATAAAACAATTAGAATAATTTCATGCAACAAATTATGAATAAAAGCATACAGATAAAAACAAATCAAGATGATATTAGCTATAAGAGAATTTGTATGAAGGGAATTTTTAAGTAGGAGCTCTCTTAGTAGCTAAGCTAATCAAGGAGAGAGCACCCGCTTGTTTTTACAGTTGATGTATAATGTTAAAACAAGTTTGGACTTCTTTACAGTTATACTAAAAATATAATAAATTTATTAAATAATAATTGCAATAGATATTTTTAACATATCCATTTCAGATGGTTTTGCGCAGTATGAATATTTTCAAACAAATCCAACTTTTAAAAACTAAGGAAGTTAATCAAAATATAATTTTCCCCAGTTTCTTGATGGTATGGCTCCTATAATCTCCTCTGTAAGAATTTTCCAATGTACAAAGTATCATTTGATATAGTTGTGCCAAGAATCTGCTTAGTGTATTTTTCATGGGTCCTAAAATATTTCATAAAGATAAAGATTCCCTATGGAATGCCTCTCAGGTTTCTTAGTTGTTTGTAGTTGATTATCAACCTGTCTCATTTTTCCGCTTTTTAAACCTATCCTAAAAGTCAATTAAAAGTCACACATATATAGCTGCAAGCATAGTTTCAGTTATCCTGGAATGTAAGCTGTACTCTTCTTTTTCCAAAAATCAAAATTTATTTTTTAATCATCTTACAGTCAGAATCTAGGTATATCCCAAGTTTTACATGGTAGCTAGAGATTATATTATTCAGAGTTAAATCATTAAGATCACGCTGTTTCCCTCATTTTCTAACTTCTATTCTGTTGTTCATAGTCAGATGGATCATCAGTATTGGCATCAACCCGACAAAAGCAGGAATCTTTGTCAGATCATAGATTGTCACCATTTTAAAGATATGTCAGCTAGAAGCTTGAATCATAACCATTAATGTTGACCTTTCTCAGCAATAATCTTATATAAGCAACAGTTTTTTACAGCCTCCCCCCCCCCACCTTAATATGATCCTAACAAATGCTTTCTGAAAATTAACTTTCAAATGATTGACATTAACTAATCTTAACAAATGCTTGACCCATCTTATTTATTTTGGAATGTCATTTTGATATGAATGTGAAATCTCATTTGCGAAGTAATTTGGTGGTGATTCCAATCAAGCTTTTTTGTTGGCACAACCATTATGATCTGTGTTGTATTTGTTTTATACATTATAAAACAATAATCAGGATTACTAACATTTAACTTGGTACTTAAAACCAGCACGAAAATAAATGATCAAAATGGTGATTTTCCTTATCAATGCATGTATGTATTGATAGCATTGAAAAAGTAACTTAAAGGTAATGTGTCCAGCTTAAGCAAGCGACTCTGCGGGGGCTTTTAGAAACATATGATTTTTCATGTCATCGTCCCAGTCATTACAGTCGTTCTGTTTATCTACCCTGCTGCGAGGTTAGCTTTTCATGTGAGCAGTTTTGCATCGCAAGAATACTAACCAATCGCAAACTGTTATTTTGATGGGTGGCTTGACAAGTTGGGTATACGCAGCCCTTTTATATGGACACATAACCTTTAAAGGCATTTTACACAGGTAAAAGTCGCTTACAGCCACTCGATCACGAGCGGTTGACCAATCAAATTGCACGAACACGGTGAAATCCTAGAGCAGCGCGCAGTGGTTTCACGTGACTAGTTTTAAATTCCTTTCTTGTGCGCGTGCCCTGATCAATTTGGCCTAAGTTTTTTTGGATTCTAGGTACTTGTGCATGTCAAATACCTTTAAAAGGCAGTTGTTCCACAAGCGTTGAGGCACCTGTCCCTTTCAGTGGCATGTCTACTTTTTGATAGACCTATTCTTTTACTAACTTCATTTTTTCATCAATGTTTGTGACCTGTTTGATGAGGGTAATTTTAACTGCTATAGTCATTTGAGTGTGTGAAGGGCATTGAGGTTGGAGGATGCAGTGGGTAATCATGATCTCATGATATTTCAAAACAGCATTATCGCTTATTATCAGGAAACGTCTCAAAATCACATCTAAATCTGGTCTCAGCCCTTACTCTCACCGGCTAAAGTACAGGAAATCGGTTGTATAACGTACTCTGTTTAGGCCATGCCGATTGATCAAATATTTTCACAGGCACTACTGGCGAACAACATTTTACCTGTTTCGCATCGTTATTACCGAAGTCGTTCTTCGTTTCAAGTACATGATGCAAATTCGTCTGTAACTTGTTGGCGAGGTGGAAGGTAGTCAAAGAAGGGTGGCCATTTGTTCGATTTTTTAATTTCCGCTTGCACAAGAGAATCTAGTAACAACGTTGGTAGCCTCTGGTATTTGCCAGAAGGATTCCCTTGGCGTCAGCGGCGGCACTCCTCACATAATGGATTTAAATATCTTCACGGTAGAATCATATTCCTGTTAGCTACATGTTCATTTGAATGGACTCTAGAAAATGTTATGCTATGCATGAGAAGGTCGTCATTTTATTATCCTCTTTATATCTTTGCTAATACATCTGTTTAGCAAAGGCTTCCTCTCCACTTGCACGCGCCCTTCCATCAAGCCGTCGGGCTTTTCGTTGCTTTATTTAGTCGGTTGTTAACGTTTAAGCTTCCCCACTGCAACTTCCCCATTTTACCCTATGTTTGTAATCCATGCTTGTTTTCTGTTTCGGTCAAAAGTTTCGTATGTACACGAATGAACCGTCACCGATGTAGGCCATTGATCTTCTCGCGTTATTTTTATCTAATTCAGTTTTTTCGCAAGCCCTAGCTACGCACCTTTGTGTCAGAACTCAGTTACGAGTGGATGTCAACGTTTGCGCTTCGTCTTGCGCGTTACTCTAACTTTTGATTTATTTATTATTGATGTCATAGTTGGTTTCTTGACAAGCAGATCAAATTTCCACAGCGAAATGATTATAGTGAAAACAGATCTTATCAGCGACAAAGTCAGTGCATTTTTGTAGTATGTCAGACTATGGAAAATTAAGACACAACCTATAGGATTTGCATGGAGTTCAGTTATTAAACAACAGAAGGTTTCTGATGCGTTTTGTAACTTTTCATGGCCATGCAGTATCGTATTTCCTTGATGAAGGGATTACAGACTTGCCATCATCGTCTTACACAAGGTGTGTTTGGAATTCTTAGCAAGTCACGCAATCGGAGCCCGTGAAATCGCAATACTGCCCTGGCTGTGATGTTTTTCTATGATGCTTTTCTATGATTCTTTTCTGTGATGCTTTAGAAAATCATGTATCAAGCTACAAACAAAGATATTTATAAGGGTGTTTTCAATCGAATGCTGACGTCATACGCCTTAAGACGCATCTCGAATGATTGCCATGTGAATGATTTGTTATGGTGCAATTTGCTATCTATCTTGGAAGTGATCATGCATGACTGCCGTCGTCTCTAGGAGTATGATTTTCTTGCTGACTCCATTCTACAAAACGTTAGTAATTTTGTCGATTGTGGCCGAGTAGTATTTGTCATTCAAAGCGACATGACATGGTGTGTTCAGCCAGAGAAGGTCATATGACCACAATACGTAAATCCTAAATTCCAGCTTAGGCAGTAAGTTCCTCGTTGCTGTTTCGTCGTAAATCGCACTTGACTGTTGAGCGAAAAGGCTAACCCAAAACACTTTGTAACATTCAGGACGAAATCTCTGTTATCGTTTTATGCTAGACCCTTTAGCCAGAAAAGATTTTAGCTTAGCAGTTTCTTCTTTCAAATTGCCGATATAGATATTTTTTATCGACAGTTTCATTTCTACCTGTACAGGAATGCTTAGACGTTCGCTGTTACGACGCTGTACCAAAGCTAGTCTCATCTTAACTAGGTTTGCTTCTATTTTGGCAGATGGAGACATTGTTGGTTATTTTATACACAGTACCTTGCTCTTCTTAACGGCTATGTAACTACTCTATACCTTGTCATCAAAGTTGCCCCTTCTGTCGTTTTGAATGGGTGCTGATGGTGGGTTCTTTCTTGTTTTGCGGTTTTGATGTCATGTTTTGACGTCAGCAACGACCTTGACATTAGTCTGCTTGACTTGGATGTTGAACCTCAGCCCTAGTTTCGCCATTGTGTTTTTCTTTGCCTACGTTGCGTACATTGTCACTAGTCTTTAATTTCAAGTAAACAGAAGAAAATTTTTATATATTAAAACACTATAAAGAAGATAGAGTTATATTTTCCTTAAAGTGCCACTGAAATGAAAAAATCAAATTTTTTTATTGTAGATTCTGGTAGACCAATCATCGCTGATTTCGAAAACAAGTTTGGTTTTTCCATTTGAGCCCATAAATAGAAATTTTTGGGGGTTGTTTGCGAGTAGTTCGTGGGAAAAAAGCTTGGGGCGAGTGACGCATTAAGATTTGCGGAGTCAATTCAGCCATAGTGAGGGCTGTAAGAAGATAAAAAGTTACCAATTGTCTAAAACGTGATACAAGCATGAAACATGGATGTGAATAGGCGCCGAAAATTATCCCCTTGTGCTATTTATAGACTGTGTGTACCAGGTTCCTGACCTCTTAAATAGTAATTGTCGTAATTTAACCATTTGATCGCGATACCAGCATGGAACATTGTTTAGAAAGGCAGTTTTATGCGCTGAAAAAGAAAGGGTGTGAATGGACGCTAAAAAGTATCCCCTTGTACTATTTATAGACTGGGGGTACCAGGCTCCTGACCTCTAAGAAAGTTATTTTCATAATTTTAATTTTGGATCGCGATATCTTGACAATGATGCTACTAAGATAACCCGGGCCGCCGAGAGATTTTGGAAGCCCTGGGGCAAAACGGAAAAACGAGGCCAAAACGGAAGGCGAAAAGATATTTGCAACCACCAACTTTAGATTACCTTTAATTGATTTTTTTTTTGCAAAGTTTTAAAAAGTTTTTTCCTTTTTTAAGGCAAAATATTTTAACTTTAAATCTTTAAAATGAAATTCATTATTTTTTTAGTCCCCCTTCTTATTTAGCCCCGGCTAAAATAATTCTATTAAGGGATTCATTCCGTCTGTACAACCATGATAGTGGCACCCTCAATATTGACAAGACCACTGTGAACAGAAATCGAGCAAAAGGTGAACGATCGGCAAAATCTTAGTGCCTCACACATTGCGATTCCTCGCAGACCGCGCACAGATTTTCGCACGAAAAGTTTTAAAAATTGCAACTTTAAACCGTTGTAGCTTGAAAAAAGTTGAATAATTTTTTCAGCTCTGTGGTACTTTATGATTTGCAAATGGAACGTATTGAGAATTCCTTTTAATATATAAAGTCAGGCAGTGTACGTTATTTATGTGGCCCTACTTCTACACGTTGAAAAGGCTGTTCACACCAAACTTCAATTTCTTCTTATATTCTCAAGTTATATATCCACCTCAACTTAAAACGTTTGTTTCCAATCAAGTTCTAATACGTCTAAATAGGAACGTTAATCTCCCGGACTCCATGTATCTGTCTGCCATTCTATCAGTCTATCATACAGTCAGTTTGTCAGTCTATCATGATCATCTCTCCCTCCAAGCTGCCTTTTTCATACAACCTGCCTTTTTCATACAACCTGAAAGCTACAAACTGGGCCAGAGCAGAATAAATTCAACAATTTCTGGTTGTAATAAGCAATTGTTCGTTGTGATGATAAGGAATGCACCAAAGGATCAGTTTCTTTGTTTCCTTGCGAAATTCCGTCCTTATCAGTTAAAAAAGTTTTGCTGTCAGCAGGTAACAGAATATTGATATGCATTTTAGCACAGGTAGAAATGTGATATTGTAAGAAGATTTTTAGTTAGAAATGATTTGAATTTGTTTTTGTTCAAGGTCTGGAAGCGCACATCAGACGGAGCCAAGAACTTCATAGATAAACTTCTTCACGTAGAACCTGACAAAAGGCTCAAGGCTGTCGAAGCCCGCAAAGAAGCGTGGGTAAATAGTGTACCACCTCTAACAAGTCACAAAGGTCAATCTAGCAAGTACTTGTCATCTCAAGCTAGCGGTAAGTCAGCAAAGTCCACATTGTCATACAAATCACCAATTTTCAAGCAAAAAAAATTCAATGAGGAGATTGTACCCTCTGATGTAGCGAACAATGAAAAGTCTAGAGTTTCTATAAGGGAAGATGATGCAAAGATTTCAAGCGAAGAAGCCGACAGGAAGCTTAAAATTGCGACTCAAGGCGAGAATATTGATAGTAACAACGATTTTGACAAAGATGACGGACCAGTGTCATCGCTTAATCGCTATGAAACAGCTCTGCTCTCACCAGCGGCCAAAGAAAAACCAGAGTCGACCGTTGCATCTATCCAAGAAGAATTCCCATCTGCTGCAGCAACAGAGGATAGCAATTCAGTTGCAAGTAGAGCGGAAGCGTGTCCATGTGACAATGAATTGGTACCACACGAGTTTGACGCGGTTTCGCCAAGGGCCCGCACTAACAACCCAGATGGTTCTCAGGCCGGATGCTTCCCCATGAACAGGTTTGCTGATGACACCACTGTCGTACCTGATTGGATTGAAAAGAGGCGAAGCGACAATTTTTACAGAAACCCTTTAGACTTTAATTCACGGAGCCAAAGAGGAATGTCGTGGCGGAACCCACGTAGAGGGGAACTTGACCTCATGTTTGCGCCATTGCAGAAGAGTAAGCTAAACTGGTACATGCAAGAAAAAGCTTCAGTGATAGAGAAAGTTGGTTTGTGGCTTGAAGAGCAGAATGGGTACACGAAAGAAGAAAGGCTTTCTAACTCTCATGGCGATATAGACCGATTAAGCAAATTGCAGATTCAAAGTGAGATGCCTTTGGACAATCCATTACTGCAGTATGCCTCAGTAAGTGCTGCATCATCACCTATCAAACATTATAATGATTTTAGTAAACAGAATTTACCCAGCGCTAGGGCATCTAAAGTGATGCATCCGGAACTTACACCTCAAGTTTCATCAGAGTTGTCTGACGGTTTGCCTGTCAGTGATACTGCTGTATTCGATGCGAGCACAGGGGCAAAGGCGCAAATCAGGACAAAAATTAAGCCGGACTTGACTCTCAAGTTGAAAACAGGGCTTAATGCCCAGTTGAAAGCGGAGCTACAACAAGACGCTGCTGCAAAACTAGAGCCGGTGAATGGGTTGCTAGAAAATAGTTTCGCCAGTTTACCACATGGTATTGAATCGTATAAAATGCAAAGGGGGCAATTCAATGGTAACATATTTTAGCCAGGTCTCCTCGTAGTATAAATTGGTTTCCCTACTACATTTCTAAATATTTACGTTTGTAAATGTTCATATTAGCAATGTGTAAGTATTCTTGGTATTAAGTTGGAAACATGTTAGTTTCCTTGAAAGGAAAGGAAAATCCAGCCCTTGCAGCTATGTTTTCTAGTGCTGAAACAGTGTAGATGATGCTATATTTGTGTAGGCAAATCTTTAAAGAATGTGTGTTTATTTGGAAGTCCAAAAAGAGTGAATTAATAATTGGTTTCTGGCATTTAAAAGTTTATCATAACATTGTCAAGTCATTCCATATTCACAATCTTATCATGTCTACTTGGGCGCGTATTATTAGTTTTGGAAAATCTAAGTTTTGCAAGGGTAAATTGTTTGGAGGGTCGAGTTGAGTGCGTCCTTCATTTTCTATCAAATCTCACAGTTTTGCAACTGTCAGATTGTCTTCATGGGTTAGTCGAATTTGCAAGACTATGTAACATATTAAGAGGTATTTGTATTCAAATTTATCGTTATTTTTATTTCTCAAGGTAACTAAGTTGTAATTTATCTCTTCTGAAATGTTTTCCGTATATTAAGCGAGCGATTCCATAATTTATTGGGAAGTTCGAAAGACTTTTCAGACGTATTGAAGGTGGAAGACTAAATAACTTACTTGGACCTTTAAAATGCGTTTGCAATATCGCTAACCAACAAAACCGACAACTTGTTTAATATCGTTAACGCATTGTGCTATTTCTTTTCAGTATATGATTGATGCAGCCGACAAATTTCTTACTTATTTTGAATAAGCTCTGTTGACAACAAGGTAACGAGCGTGCTGGCAAATCTTTGATCCCCTTGAATCGACTTTGAGATGTAGATCCAAGATTTTCGTACCTGTGTAAAAGGTAACCATATTTCTTGACAACAGATGTTATATTTCTTGACCTTGCCTCTCTTTAGGGTTTTTTATCTGCCCCACAGTCTGTGGTGGCAGCTACCCTGCTACATCCTTTGAATGTTTGTCCTGCCTTCGTCTGAATTAGTTCTCTTGTATATACAGTTGTAAATTTATGTGAATAAATTTTCGGGTTTCTATCGATTAAAGCTCGAAGACATTTAATTATTACTGTAAAGTCGATTTATTTCAAAGATTTTTATCAACCATAATCTTTCGTGTTTCGTTTTCTATCACATAGCTATGTTAAGATAATTAATTACTCAGGCAATTAAAGCTTAGATTTTCAGATTGGGATGTTAAACGAGATTGCCCTGCTAGCAGGAGGATATATGTAGGTTAATATATTTTATGGGTGAGCAATTGCACAGAGCATGTCTAGCTGATGTAGGTGACCAAAAACCCCAACCCCTCCCCCGCCCCCATTATGAAGACAGGCTGCTATTCAAAAAAGAAGGATATTCTCTTCATCTGAATGCACCTTGAACTTCAAGGTTTCAGATTGCGGCTAATTGTTCGTTTCCTAGGCAGCTGCAAAGTAAACTTGATAAACACAATTGAGGTGTCAGAGTTTCCAGTTTTACAGTGCTCGGTGTAAATTTTCACCAATCTCACCAATGCATTGTATGATATTATTCTAGTCTTCACGCTAATTCACGCCTTGGATTTTCACCTATGCTCGTTTTGTCGCATACATGAAATCCTCAATCAGTTTGCTGCGTTTCTGCGTCGCTACATCTTCTACACTAATTGAACAAAATTTAACAGCGCTGTCGAGCGGTGCGTCCTGCAATTTGCCGAGCGTTAAAGCAGTATTACGTGATGTTCTTGGTGCGAATCAAATGAATTATGCGTATCACTTAGTCTGATCGTACGGTCATTAGCAATTTGTACTGTCGTTTTAAAATTTGATTCTGAATTTATTTGTTCATAGAGAATTTGAGTGAATTTAATGACCGCCGTAAATTCTAAGGTCAATTCGTTATATGTACATTATAAATGAACTGGCGTCCTGATTCATAAACAGTTTTCTTTTTTTACATCTGGCTGCTATTCTTATCCAGTTAATTAGAGAGCAGGACAGTGAATGCAGGGGGGCAAGACAGGGAGTAGGGGGGGCAACGATGTATCTCAGCCCTGAGAAACTGGTATGCTTTCTGCAATCATACCCTTTCAACTTTCATTGGCTGTAACCAATGCAAGTACCGGCCTCTGCTGCTTCATTTGGCTCAGATGTTGCCAGCCTGCTTTTGACTGCTTAGCCCTGTTTACAATACAATTTTTAACCTGGGTTAACGCTAACCTAGGTTGAACCCACTTTCGTTTACACTGCATTTACCATGAAGTATAGTGTAAACGCAAATGCGAATCGTATTCATCGGCATCTTTCAAAATGGCCGACGGCAATGATGAGAGTTTGATGTGGGGACTGCATTCACTGTGGTACGAATGTATCCACCTTCTCCCTGCAGTCTTCTGAAACTTGCTGCTTCCAATAGAAAGACCTATTCCCCCAAGCGTTCCAAAAACTTTTGTTTTGACTCGAAAAGCGCATACGGATATCAGATCGTTAAACATGAATTGAACCCAGGTTTGCGTTTCCATTGCATTTTCAAGATCTTAACCTGGAGTAAACCTAGGTTCAAACCACCTCCAGAGTAGGGTAGGCTTAACCTAGGTTTAACCCAGGTTAGCAGCGTTTAAACTACAAATTTTATGACCGAGGTCAACGTAAACCCCGGTTCAATCAAGGTTAAACATTGTAGTGTAAACAGGGCTAATGATTATCAGCGGGATGTCACTATATCCAATTCCACCCAACTGTATTGACCAACCAGTATGCATGGTTCTTATAATAAACGGCCAAATTAAGCCCCTTCACGGCCAAATTAAGCCCCTTATGACCGTTCCAGTTTGTTATACCACATTATCTACAAAAACATTGCAAGCTTCGAAGCAGCAATTTAACACCTCATACATTGCAATTTAACCTGTGTCTGCGCAGCAGTGCGGTCTTCAGGGGACTTAGGCACACTGCAGAATTCAAATTTCCTCAAAACGAGCTATTTGATTGCATTGAATCTAGATTTGATACTAAAATGTTGACTAGCTCTGAACACAAGCTCATGTTTGGTGATCACCGGTTCAATGTTAATGTTATGACCGCAATCCATTTTATTAGCATGATAAAGCAAGTCATCTTTCTGTGCGACGGAACTGACATAACACTGACGTGGAATCAAACGAATTGGAAAAGGGTGGGAACAATATTTAAGCTTTTCTCATAAAGCCCAGAAATGCCTCATTAAACAAATTCAATTTTTATTATCTTCTTTCCAACTAGTTTATTTTGATACCATAAATAATGGGGAATATTGGTTTTAATTTTTGAATTCCACCTTGAAGAAAATCACACTAAACGGTCGGGCTATGTTCATTGTGAACTTGGCAAAGGATTCCAACATTTGAACAACCATTTACTGAGCCTTTTACTGAACATTTGCTTAACATTTGACTGAAAATTCGAGTGAACATTTGCTTAACATTTGACTGAAAATGTGAGTAAACATTTGACTGAAAATTCGAGTAAACATTTGACTGAAAATTCGAGTGAACATTTACTTAACATTTGACTGAAAATGTGAGTAAACATTTGACTGAAAATGTGAGTAAACATTTGACTGAAAATTCGGGTGAACATTTGCTTAACATTTGACTGAAAATGTGAGTAAACATTTGACTGAAAATTCGAGTGAACATTTGCTTAACATTTGACTGAAAATGTGAGTAAACATTTGACTGAAAATGTGAGTAAACATTTGACTGAAAATTCGAGAAAATGAACATTTGCTTAACATTTGACTGAAAATGTGAGTAAACATTTGACTGAAAATTCGAGTGAACATTTGCTTAACATTTGACTGAAAATGTGAGTAAACATTTGACTGAAAATTCAAGTGAACATTTGCTTAACATTTGACTGAAAATGTGAGTAAACATTTGACTGAAAATTCGAGTGAACATTTGCTTAACATTTGACTGAAAATGTGAGTAAACATTTGACTGAAAATTCAAGTGAACATTTGCTTAACATTTGACTGAAAATGTGAGTAAACATTTGACTGAAAATTCGAGTGAACATTTGCTTAACATTTGACTGAAAATGTGAGTAAACATTTGGTTGAAAATTCGAGTGAACATTTGCTTAACATTTGACTGAAAATGTGAGTAAACATTTGACTGAAAATTCGAGTGAACATTTGCTTAACATTTGACTGAAAATGTGAGTAAACATTTGACTGAAAATTCGAGTGAACATTTGCTTAACATTTGACTGAAAATGTGAGCAAACATTTGACTGAAAATTCGAGTGAACATTTGCTTAACATTTGACTGAAAATGTGAGTAAACATTTGACTGAAAATTCGAGTGAACATTTGCTTAACATTTGACTGAAAATATTACTAAACATTTGGTTGAATCTTTGTCTCAAAATTTGACGGAACATTTGATTCAAAATTTTTGAATATTGACTCGTGACCAAATATGAATATGTTCGAAAAACAACTTCCTTATTTCAACAAATGAAATGTATTGCTAGTCTCGTCGTCAATCCATCCTTTTACTTCCACAGGCGAAGATTTCTGTATCGGAAGAATTCCGGATATATTTTTCTTATTCTGTAGCCTTGCTTTCAAGTTTTATTTACTGTACCCATCTCATTTTCCTTTCACATTCGACAGATTCATAAACTTGCGCTGTGCTGATAAAGGGCATGAGGGCCTAAATTTCTCACTATCCTCAGCTCGAAACTGCAAGACCTTTTCCATGCAAAGAAAAGCACATTACGGTAGCTGTGAGACCGTAAGGGCCCAGTTACATACATACATATACACATACATACATACGCACACACGCACATACATATATTTATAACGCAGGTTTATGTTCGGCAGCCTCTTGTTGGCTGATGTGGACCTGCAACTCAAACGTTCTAAGCAAAAATAGTTGCAAAACTAAACCCTAGTATCTAATCTAAGAAATAAAATCATTTCTCCATTTCAGATATCTTAAATAACTAGTTACTAGAAATACATAAAAGTACCAAGATCTTTATTCATATTTACTGTAGTTGCCTCACTGAACGAAAGTTGTTCGATTGTTTTACAATTCTTTGTCAACGATTTCTTGAGATTTAACAAATTTTCAGCGCTCATCAAATCTGGGTTTAACGTGTTCCATAATATTGACCCTCTGTATTTTAACGTGTTTCGTTCAGTTTCAGATTTCAACCTCTCTATTTCTAATTTGGATAGTATACATCCCTTTTAGTCTATGCCCTTCTTCTTTCCTAACGATCTTATAAATCTCAACAGCAATCTTCCTCTTAAATATGTATTCGATGTTTTCCAGCTTGCTTTTTGGAATACCTCTACATCAATCACATTTTCATTTGTTTTCCTAACAGTCCTAGCTGCTTTTGTGTGCTCACATTCGATCTTCTTTAGTAGATTCTTTGAACACGTCCCCAACACCATTAGGCCATATGTTTGTTATTTTTGGAACAATCATAATGATGTAGATCTTTTCAAGTATCTCACTTGGCAGGAATTTTATCTTTTTTAACATTGCATTATAAACTGTAAATTTCTTCCTGACTTTCTCTATTTGCACACTTCATCATTTCAACTTACTATCAATGTACACCCCCTACCTATTCAACTTACTATCAATGTACACCCCCTACCTATTCAACTTACTATCAATGTACACCCCCTACCTATTCAACTTACTATCAATGTACACAACTTACTATCAATGTTTTATAATCGACTGTATTACTAGTGATTTCAATTGGCTTTAAGGGACCAGCAAAGGCATTCTTTTGAATGACCATTGCATCTGTCTTCTCGGCATTTATTGTCATTCTGTTCCTTATGCACCATTGTTATTTTATTAGCCAAACATTGATAATGGAAACTTTTCCTTTTCAATTCAATTAAAACTACAATTACAAATTTCACCATTACAAAGGTAATTTGCCATTGGCTAGCCTGGGTTTACAAAGAAAAAGACTATTACAAGCACAAACAAAAGAAATTAACAAAAATAGGAAATTGTTTGGTTTAGAAGTCGTCAGTAGCAGAGATCGTTAGAATTGAAGAAGTTCAGGATTACTCCAAGATTTATTTCTGCGGCAGAAAATGTAATAGGTAGTACGGATAGTTAAGTTGGATAGTTTGGAGATCATGAAGCGGAGATGATTCTCGCTGATATCTAGAGCGTTGCAAATGCCGATGGAAGAGGAGCAGGAGAGACCAAAGATACCTAGGGAACTGATAGAAAGATTAACAAACATGATAGAAGAATAGGCTGAGCTTAGGCTGTGAATGAGATTCGAGTATTTCTCTCTTTTGCGGTTAGCATTAACATCCAAGTTAGTTTCGTATCCTACTGTAAGCTCGGGTATGAATAGCCGATGTTCAGAAGTGACTAGAAGTAGATCAGGACGGAAAGAGTCTCCTGTTATGATAGAGGGTGAGAGATAACCTGAAAGGTCTGCGTAAAGAGAGCAATTAGGTATAGCTTTTAAAGACTGTGCTAGAAAGTGTAACGGCCTTCTTCGAGGTATGTTTTGCAGCCTGCAACAATGTGAAGTAACGTTTCTGGCATATGGCAAAATAAGCAATTGGACGACTGAGTAATGTTCCATTTAGATAGGTTTTTTCGCGTGGCAAGGGAGTTGCTAAGATATTTGATAGTAAAACTGTAAATGTTCTTGGGCATGTTGCTTTGAACTGTGGTCCATATTTTAGAGGCTATAGGAAGAGAGTGGTCAAAGATGAAGGAAAGAACGGTACCTTGAGATACAAGATGGTTTTGAAGGCGCTCTTTATGTTCTGATCTAACAGCCTTCAATACTTCTCTAGTATTCCTGTAAACATCATATTGGATGTTCATGCTCTGGCTGGTATTTTTCCACAAAGATTGGATGTTTTTGTTGGGAGAGGATTTCAGTGCATTACGACAAACAGTTTGACACTGCATGAATTTAACAGAAGTAAGAATCAAGTTAAGACCGAACTGGATTTTTGACAGAATAATGCCACTTAAAGTAGCACTTATGGGTAAATCGAGCCAACGGCGGATAAATGCAGAAACTTGATTATCAAGGTTTTCGACGATCCAGGTTTTTGATAGATCGGCTACTGTGAGGTGCCACAAAATTGTGAGAGAAGATAGCTGTTATAAAGAAGCAGCTTATTCTTTGGATGGAGAGGTAAAGAATCAATTTGGTTTAGGAGTTCTGTGAAGATGGAGCTGAGCTTAGACATATGTTCTTGGTTGCTCATATTAAAGTCGAAGTGATGCCCAAGATACTTAAAAGACTCTCCAGTTATGACAGGAGGGACCATTTCATTATTGATGAAGAGCTTTGGCTGATATTGTAGGGGGCGTGTTGGGAATTTTTTAACACCAAAGGTTGTGCATTTGTCTACTCTTATAATCATGTTAGACCATTGACACCATCTTGTAAAGCAGTTTAAGAGTAGCTGGTTTTCTTTCTCCCCGTTTGTAATGACTGCAGCATCGTCTGCAAACTGAAACCAGTGCTCTGGGGTAAACATACAGTCTGGTTGGCTATGGGGAGAGAAACTAAGTGGTTTGAATTTTTCTACCTTTATGTATTGAATGAAAGTATTGAATGAATTAATAATAATAATAATAATAATAACATGGGTGTTGTTGATACTTTTTAGAATTTTTGAATTATTTGTAACATTAAACAATTTTTTTTCTCATATTTACAGTCATCATTATCATCTCATTGCATCAATCTCCATAGCACCACCCACATCCCTTTACATCACCCACCACCCTTCCCTCCCCCACTTCCGTCATCCCATTTTTTCTCCACTGCGCTGCATTCACACCATTCAACATCCACCAATCCGGCACCACCATCTCACATTTCAAATCCATTCACTCGTTCGTTTCATTTACTCTGATGAAGCCCTGTATGCCGGGGCGAAATATTAGTATATTCTTTAAATTTAATTTATTTTGAAAATTTTATTTCGTGACATTGGATTCTCGTCGTCGTATTGTTTTGTTCCTGTATATCTTTCATAACAACACTCATTGCAAGATTCACAGAATCCGGCAGACAGCCTATCCTGCGGTTTTTCCTTCTCACACTTCATACACCTTGTTCTCTCTCTATTATTTCATCTGCTTTGTATGCTGGCTTCAGTTAACAAATTTTCCATGTTGAGTGGCAGTTTTTTTACATTTTGTACTTTGTTTGAATAAGGCTAGCTCCCTAGATTCGTCTTTTGTACTTCAAATTACTCTGTACAAAATTTTAACGGCATAGTTTATTCATATGACTACCCAAACTAGGCAGAAATAATCTCAGCATTTGGAAGGCTCTGCGGAGTAGCCAGAGCGAACTCAAGAGTAACGTCCTCTTTGAAACAATTTTTCGAAATTTTCTTGCTCAAATTGAATGATCGACTGATATTTCAGAAAAAAGATCTGTAAACTGAAACACTTGCAGATCAGCTTTTATTCTGCATTGGGAGCGTGTATTGATACTTAAATGCAAGAATCAAAAACTGTAAACCATGTGGGTTTTCAGAAAGCATTTGACATAGTTGGACATAGCACTTGACATGGGGAGCGACGAATTCAGCTACTCTTGTGCTGCATTTCGATATAACAAGGAATAACTAAGACGTGAAGATGCCTTAATGGGGTAGGAAAAGTGTGCATTTTGGACTCGCGGCGTCTTCTTTTGTCTCATGAAAGGGAACAAACTGCTGTCATGAATGGGTAAACTTGGTGTATATTGTATGGGTACGATGGTATGAGAGCGGTTTGCAGTGGCCAATAATAGCAGTTGGAAAATTCATGTGGCAAATAAAGTTAATTCAGAAAGTAGATCAAAGTCCTTGTTCTAGAAATTGAGGAAACATAGTCCACAGAAAGCTGTTTTCAAACATGAAACTGAAAATCAGGGTAACTAGATTGAATAAATACCACAGGTATTCTTTTATACATAAATTTATTTGCAAAGCTATCCAAAATCCGAATGAAAACAAAACAGGAGTTGCGTGGAATATGACAGGCATGAAAGCCAAACAGAGGATGGCCCGCTAGAATTGGGCTTGGAGAACCTGATTGAAGGGGTTTTACTTTTGAGAATCCCGTAAGTCTTCAAACAAGCCCCTGGAGGCTTATGAATTTAGGGAGATTTTTGATAGGGACCTAGACGAGAGGCATACTTATAAAAATCATCTGAAAGTTATCATTTGAATAAACGTCATAACTGAAAGATGGGGCTTGGTCGATATTCTGTTGCCAGACTTTTTACTTTATTCTATGAATGTTAAGCAAAGTTTAACTTTTCACTCCCTTCAAGTTGAATTTTTAAGCGTGGCTGCTCTGGTTGTCTTTTTTCAAAAACTGGCTTTATCAAAAACATTGCTTGCAAAAAGATATGAAATGGTTCTAAACGAAATGCAAACGAATAAGTCATCGAAATGAAGAAAGATGTAGCTAATAGATTTGAAGCAAACCGTTCAGTGGATTTAGCCAAAGATAATGCTGTTAGCGTGTACTACAGAATATCATAAGATCTGGGAAGGCACCTTCAAGTGTACTTTAACAACCTCTTTGACTTGAAAGGTTTTATCAATGAAAGAAAGGTTTTATTTTCTCAAACTTTGGTGATGAACCTCTTGACTTCTGATTTAGCTTTCTGCAAAGGCATGGGGTGGCGATCGCCATTTTGTCACGTGGTCAAGACTGCGCTTGTGTTGGACCATGGCCAGTGAAATGTTGAGAGCGCTTGGCAGGGGCTTAATGAATTTGAAACTGAAAATTGATAAAGAGAACCTGACCGTCCTCGCTTTACCCTCATGATTTTTATCAGCGTATCTACAACTCTAACTAAAAAGGATTTTTCCCTATGCATAATCATATTAAAGGAATGGTAAAATTGCGAAAGATAGAAAGTTAAAATGAGCTATTTTTCAAAATTTGGAAGAGTTTATAATTGATTACTCGTTCATGAGCGAGGAAAAATGCTCTTTCAATTAGATGCTCTGCTATAGAAAGAGGGAATTGTTGTTTCGTGTCGTTTAGTAGATCGTAGTCTTTTGAGCAGTTTGCTGGATTGGTCGTGGGCTCCGACACAAGTTGGAAAGTGGGGAAAGGGGGCAAGGGAATATTTACAATCGTAACAAAGAATTTTGAAAAAGATCTATTGTTTTCCAAAAAAGGTAGGGCATGGCCCCCGGCAACCCATTCGTCGGAGGAACGTTCCTGTCAGCAACGAAGACATCTTTTCATTGAGTCAAACTTCAACGAAAACGGAGTCAAACTAATCCGTTTTTGCCTTGCATTCACACCGCTCTGCTATGAAAACGAAGTCGTTTGAATACACAAATGAAAAATGTAGGATAAAAAATATGGATTCTTTTGAATACGGTGCACAAGGATACCAATGTTGCCAATGTTGTCTATTTGATGAAGAATCGCTAAAGCCTCTTTTCAAAATGAGGCCACCAACAGCGTTTTCGTTGGAGCAGTATCAACACTTACAGTATTCAACGGGTTGATACGGATTACGAAAGATGGAATAAATGGTATGGTTGTGAGCACCATTGGCAGCGAGAACTCCATGACGTGATGTCTTTTTTTGCCGCGAATGATGGAGGTAAAAGTATTAATGTGATCGTAGCATAAATCAAATTAGAATCCTTTTGATTGGCAAAGAACTACAATTTCATTAACTTTTTAACAATTCTCCAGAAAATTCTTATTTGAAAAAAGTTTCCTAAAACATATTCACTGCAGCTAAAACTGAAACATTTGCACTTTCAAGACCAAGTCCATGTTGATGAAAAATGAAAGATGAAAATCTACAATGATGAAACCAGAAGAAACACATCCTTTCAATATAAAAAAGGCTTTAATCTCTTGCAAAAATGTGGCTTCTTGTAAAATATAGTTCATACCCTGCTTATGGCATTATGTTAGCTTTTCAGCAAGAAATCATAATACAATATGTGCTGCAGTACAACTAAAACAATGACAGACAAATTAACTGTCATTTTGCAATTCATATTAAGAAAATGGCCAATACAAGTCAACCAAAATGGCCAAATGTAATTGGGATAAAAAACAAGAAGGAAAAGTAATATACTAAGATATTCAATTTATTATAAGGTGGGTGGCGCTCAACCACAACTAAAATTTCCAAACCTAAGAACTCAAAAAACAAATCATTTACAAAAGCTATCAAAGCTTTGGTTGACAACTTTTTTCATAATTAACAAACGAAAAATCCCAATGCAAGTGCAGTGTTGCCCTTTAGAAGGAATTCAGACGAAAATGGCACCATTCCTGCGAAACATATCATGTGAAAGGTTATTAGGGAGCTTTACGGAAAACTTTCTGCATTGCGGTTAGTCTGAATATACAACAAAACAACACTCTGTAAACAATTTATACCTAATTTACATAATTTTGGTAAGCCTATTGGCCAAAGACTTTTGGGCCATGGATTTGCAGAGGTTATAACAATCATACTAAATACGTAAATTCATAAACAGAACATGTCTCAGCAACAGGAATTCAGTTTGCCCAGGCTGCAAGCTCTGCCATTTCATCATCCTCATCAACCTTTTTCTTTTCTATCAAAAAAGAAATAAAAATATTACAGATATTGCAGTTATAAACATAAATGGTCACAAATAAAAACCAGAATATATCCAAGAATGTCTGACGCCACATAAACAGGGGCTAATTATTGAAAATTCTGCCAAACATAACTTTTTGCACACATTCAACCTATGTATATTTAGCACCTAGGCATAAGCATTTCAGCCTCGCAAGGTATAAGCAACTCAGCCTTGCAAGGCATAAGCAACTCAGTCTTGGAAAGGATAAGCACCTCAGTCTTGCAAAGTATAAGCACCTCAGTCTTGCAAAGGATAAGCACTTCAGTCTTGCAAAGGATAAGCACTTCAGTCTTGCAAAGGATAAGCACTTCAGTTTTGCAAGGTATAAACACCTCAGTCTTGCAAAGGATAAGCACTTCAGTCTTGCAAGGTATAAGCACCTCAGTCTTGCAAAGGATAAGCACTTCAGTCTTGCAAGGTATAAGCACCTCAGCCTAGCAAAGCATAAGCAACTCAGTCTTGGAAAGGATAAGCACCTCAGTCTTGCAAAGGATAAGCACTTTAGTCTTGCAAGGCATAAGCAACTCAGTCTTGGAAAGGATAAGCACTTCAGTCTTGCAAGGTATAAGCACCTCAGCCTAGCAAAGCATAAGCAACTCAGTCTTGGAAAGGATAAGCACCTCAGTCTTGCAAAGGATAAGCACTTCAGTCTTGCAAGGTATAAGCACCTCAGCCTTGCAAGGCATAAGCAACTCAGTCTTGGAAAGGATAAGCACCTCAGTCTTGGAAAGGATAAGCACCTCAGTCTTGCAAGGTATAAGCAACTCAGCCTAGCAAAGCATAAGCAACTCAGTCTTGGAAAGGATAAGCACCTCAGTCTTGCAAAGGATAAGCACTTCAGTCTTGCAAGGTATAAGCACCTCAGTCTTGCAAAGGATAAGCACCTCAGTCTTGCAAAGGATATTTATTTATTTATTCACAATACTTATTTATTTATATTTGCCAATACATAAGCACAAACAACAAAAAGATTTGAGTGCCCTCATTGACAGGAAACTTACTAAAGCCCCCTCTTTCAAACCCCTCTCTTTTTTAGGCATGTTGGTTTGGTTTTTTGAGGACTGAAACTTCCAAAAATCAGGCTGTTTGCAAAGTCAACAAGTTTTGAAAATTCTTGAATAGCAGATTCTGGTTTTCTAGATACTCACCCTTTGACTGACTTAACAGCTTATGCATTACTAATTTTTTACTGTTTAGAAAATTTTTTTCATTGGTATTAGTTGAATTTTCAACTTTTTAGTCGCACATGCCTGAAATCTCCAATGACCGTGATCTAAGATGGAAGAGCCCAAATATTTGTATGGATAGATGGAAGATTGTAGAAGGTAGAAGTGATCTTTATAATTTACAACTTGGCCCCTCTATTTCATATTCGCAATAATAGCTTTCAAGTAAGAAGGCTTTCCAAGTAAGAAGGCAAAATCATAGATTGATTTTCTGTATCCCACTTGGACGGCAGTTATCAGTATTTGTGGGTCACTGATAACAGGACTGATAACAATATGGCCTATGACCAGTCTATACTTTTAATGTAATGTATGAATGCATTTTACCTTTTTCTTTTTTTGGTAGCTCTGTCTCTGGTACATTTGGAAGTTCTGCAGTTTTCCCAATATTTAGCATTTGTTCATCCAAAGTCTCTTGCTCTAGCTCTTCAAGTTCAGCCAAAAGATCATCCTTGGGTGAAAAGCAAAACTTTGAAGAATGCAACTTAAAGAGCGCCAAGGTCCAGAATGACAATGAAGCAATCTTAAAGAGCTTTAATCCCAACAAGCATTAGAGAGTAGCTTTGTTTTACCGAGTATGTTTAGTGAAATGCTACAGGGCATCATCAATACAAACTTACAACTAAAAGAGAGAAAGAAAAAAACATATACTTAGAAATAAATCTGATGGCAGTTAGAGTTTAGGAGTTGTGGATGCAGTTGGCAATAGGTCAGCTGAATATAAAAGGGTAGGAAAATTGTAAAATACCTCATCAACATCTTGGAAGCCAACAGAGCTTGAAATAGCTTCTGAAATTTCATTTGCCAATTCAGTTTGCTCAGAAATATCGTCCATCATATCGTGCACATCATCAACATTCCTAATCAAAGGAAAACATTCAGTGCTTTCAAGAAAAACTAATAAAAAATTCTGAGCCTATCTGCACAATCAAGAAATGAAAGAAATAAAAAGAATATAAGCATCACTATCAGTATCAAGAATATATTCTTTCTAGCTTCCAAATATAATATCCTTGCCTTTTCCTTACAAATACTCAATTTGTTTCTGATTAGAAAATATCCGATAGAGGGGCACTGGGTTTGCTCCATTTTTTAAAAAGGCTCAGGCTACAATGTATGCTGATGATGAAACCATCTATGTTATTATTCAGAAAATATAGAAGAATTGAATTTTGGGCAAATGCTTGTGGCAATTTGACTCCAGTGGTAAATTTTCTATAGGCACGTAGCTCTGACTGGACAACAATGCCGGCCATGTGCTTGCCTTTTTCTGCTTGGCCTATATCGATCCGCAACTGGGTATATATTTTCTGACCCTTATTCTGATGTTTTATACTCTGAGGAGTGCCAGACAAAAAAGCTTTTTGCAGTATGTTGTAAAATGTTTGCTTTTTTCAAAGCCACTTTCTTCAAAGTTTTGTATACCACAAAAAAATGAGAAATAGTAATATGTGACTCACAGTTCCTGGTGTGCTGATTTCATTGCTTTTGCTGCAAATCCCATTGCTTTAAGAACTTCAGTGTTGGTGTTTGCATTCTCTAGGGCTTCTCTTTGAAATTCAATTGTTGATAGTGTACCATCAATTTGAGCTAATTGCTTGTCTAACCTCTTTTTTCTTTTAAGTGCATTCAATGCAACTAGAAAAATATCAGATATACCTTTATATCAATGCCTGTTTCCAGCTTATCAAAAAGTCATTTATCAACAAGTAAAAAAATTCAATAAGTCATTTATCAACAAGTAAAGTAAAAAAATAAATTTTCTCTTGGTGGAAACCTCAAATTTCAACTCAATTTATTTATGAAAGACTTCTCTTTGTGCTACCACAGCTAATCAGAAAGCAAGATTTTCTAATTGCCAGCATCACATACTCATTCATACAGCCTTTTCTGGATATTTTATGTCTGTGAATACTCATTGGAATTTACAAATATTAAAGCTGCATGATATTTTGTATTCTTTGATAATATTATTTTGATCTCTGATAAGAGTTCGACTATCTCATTTTTTTAAACCAATTAATTTAAACGTTTGAGATGAGCAAGTGTAGGATTTACTAACTATGCTTAATTTGTCATCTATGTCTATACATGTATAAACTTTAGTTGTTCAGATTTATGTTAGCTATTAAATGTCCAAATGTTTGCACATAGTGAAAATTGAATAAATGAAAACTTAAGCTTATTCAAACTCTAGGCCAGGCGACAAAGTTTGATTATTGGTAACACTAGGAAGGCATAAACAACGCATATTTCGTTCACTGACGCAACATCAAGTAATTTTTTCAAAATATTTTCTGTTCCATCATGGAGAAAAGCCTAGCACTGATACAGTACCTGACTGTATGTTCCATGGCGCCTCTCTCCAGAAACTTCGTGTTTGGCATTAGAAACTAACTAGAATTATAGGGCAATTATTAGAGTAAAATATTTAGGCCTACCCCTTTTGTTTTTTGTGCCTGCTTTTCTTGCAGTGTTTATTTCTTCGGTAATTTTACCCTCTAGAAAGCTTGACTTCTTTTGCAATAATTCTTCAGTTTCACGAAGCTTTTGTATGGCATCTTGAGTTGTTGCCGGAGCCTCTTTTTTCTTTCCGCCACCGAATATCTTTGCAAGTGACATTTTGGCGACTCAAATTTAGTCCCGCTACTTTAGGCCACTGTCTCAGCACGAATGATAGTTTCAACCAAATTAAGCTTCAGTTGAATTTAAAATAACTTTATTCCAGTTTGAAGTTTACTGCAAAAATTTGATAAGATTCGCTGCCTGTCTCTGTTAGCAGAGGTCTTCCTGCCCGCTGCCTAACCTTCCTCACTCCCAGGTTGAAATCAAATGAGAAAAACGATGACGTAAGCGCCTTGCTAGCAACTGTCAGCTTGTTTTTTTCGCACAAGAGCAACAAGATGTCCCAAATCCCTCTCCGTAAATCTTCGATTAATTTTTTGACCTTGCCCTTATTCGAAAGGGAACATATTGACAAGGGAAAATATGCTGCTAAAGTTCACATCTTAAAGTCCTCGATATTGTCGACCATCAAATTCATTAATCATGACATCAATCAAAAGGTGAGATGAATATTGGGGGTATTGCAAGGATCATATCTTAGCTTTCTATTATTCTATCAATTAATGACTATCAACTGTACGCCGATGATGCAACTGCATCAATGATCTGAGTAAATTGCACTCTGTTACCAATGAATGTCGAGGAATTGCTCCAAGGTAACAAGATTTCCTTCAATATCATTGAGACCCAAGCCATAATCATATGGTCATCAAAAAGCTCCAGAAGCTGAGTAGGGTATAGATAACTTATGGTCTTCGGATCAGAATATCATTGTTTTTGTTCATTAAACTAAGTATCACGATCTGATGATAGATAGCAAGCAAGTTTAAATGGGAAAACCAGATAAAATGTGGCAAAATGCATTAAAAAGTCTTCCAAGGCACAAAAAAATCAGTTTGAAAACAAGGCTAGCAAGACGGCGGTCATAAATTTTATAGCTCCAGTTTCTGCTTGCTTCTTTGCCGCTATTCTATAAGTGTAAAAAGTGATCCTAGTGTTTGCTACTCAAGACATCAAGAAGGGTTAGACTGTGAGCCTCTTCTTTGGACTGCAACAACACCTGCTAGTCAAATATACAAGCATTTCAAGTACATATACTACCAGAAGGATGCTCCTGCTAAAGTAAATTTGAACTTGGTTTTGATCTTGAGTGGCGACGTCTGCATAAATCCTGGTCCCTGCCCTGGAGTAAGAGTTGAAGACAACGATTGCAGCAAGAACACATCCTTCTCATGCCTTGTATGTCAAAGGAATGTTGATTGGTCTGATGATGCACTACAAACTGATGCGTGTGATTACTGGATTCACAGGGCTTGTGTCAATATCAGTACCAGGGAGTATGATCGGCTTGCAGGACTAACTGCATCATGGTTATGTTGTTATTGTGGACTGATGAGTGTTAGCACTGATTTATTTTTCAAATCAACAATTTGCACTGAGAACAAATATAGCATTTTGTCTTGTATAAACACATATGAATCCTTGGGCTCTCCTGTCTATGCTTAAACTCCAATGAAAAGTGACAAGACCAGAAGACAATTGAAAACCAGCATTACAGTCATTAATGTCAATTGTCAGAGCCTAAATGCTAAAAGAGAATCCTTAAATGCAATGGTCAATGGAGTGAATCCTGATGTAGTCATTGGAACAAAAGATTCCTGGCTTAGTAATAAGGACAGTGATGCAACTGTATTTCCAGTTGATCATTTCAAAGTCATTAGAAGAGAAAGGGAAAAAGAAGATGATAACCATGGTGGTGTTTTTATAATGGCAAAGAAATATCTGATTATTGAAAGGGAAGAAGAACTTGAAACCAACTGTGAAATTCTATGGTGTAGATTGGATGTATATGGAACAAAAACAATGCACATATGTGTCTACTATAGACCTCACGAGGGAGATGAAGAGAGCTTCGAACAGCTTGAAGGTTTACTGGTCAAATTAAGACAAAAGCATGTATTGATAGCTGGTGACTGCAATTTTCCTGGATAGGACTGGAAAAATAAAATTATCAAACAGGGTTATAGATACAGATCCCAGCATGAAAATTCTGGTGAAATTTTAGATGACAACAATGTAGTGCAAGTGGTTGATGAAGGCATTTGGGGAAGACCAGGAACTTCTGATCACTGTATACCAGGGTTGTCCAAGGCGTGGCCCGCGGTCCACATTGTGGCCCGTCATGTTGTCTAATGTGGCCCGCGCTTGGGTCAAAGTTGATAAAGAACTGCATTGTATTTTTTCAGGTTGTAAGAGAGAAGTTAATTCATATTATTCACGAGATCAAATAAAAGCGCAACCCACTTTCGCGCGCATACACTTGGCGACTTCAAGTTCAACGCAATGAACCAAACCCCCTATTCTGTGCCCAAACCATGAACACGCCGCGCTTGTTTGAAAAGTTCAAGATTGGTACAAGCCATGTTTCTAAAAAGCCGTGAAAAAAAGCCGTGAAGAGGGAGAAATGTGAACTTGGGAAACGCAATTTAAAATTATCGTGGACAACCGATTTTTCCGTATCTCAGCAAAATGATTTTGTTATGTGCTTAATTTGTTTGAAAAAATTGCAGTGCGGAAGGAATACAATATTGCTTGGCATAATAACACTAAAAATTCATGTTATTATAAGCTGGAAGGCCAGTTACATGTTCATGAATTAGGAGTTTCTCGTCAACAATCTCTAAGGAAATCAGGTTTTTCAGTTCGGATTGCGCCACAAAGGTCAGCATGCCGTGGTCTACTTTTCTTTTTGGTAGCACATACAAACGCAAACAAAAATTGTTAAAATTGATGGTAGAAGCAGATTAAGTCCTGGTTTGTACGGAAAGTATTGCATACTGTTACAATGCCGTTCAAAATGATTGAACAAACGGGAAATGAACTGTTCAAACAGGCACGAAACGATCACGTACCAATTGTTTCTTCTCTTCACGCGGGAAGACAATCTATCCGTTCTACTTTTTGTGCTAGAATTTCAAGAGTTTACCAATGCGCATACGAGTATTCCTATACGAACAATGCAAGCATTTAGCCAGATCAGTAATTATTCTGTTTTTTCGGATCATTTTACCTGTTCACACGGGAACGGAACGATTCCACACTGTTAATCTTTTTGTATCACTTAACGGCACGATTTAAAGTGTTCCCACGTGCGCGCAACTCCTATGCGACTCATTTTTTGGAATGGGACGATATGAAACGGAACGGGACCAAACGGCAATGCAGCGGTAAACATATAAGTGGCCCCCCAGTTACCACGTTATTCTGAAAGTGGCCCTTCTGGAAATAAGGTTGGACAACCCTGCTGTATACCAAGGATTGAAGTGGATGTAAGACCAATCAGGAGAAAACAAAAGCCTAGGAAGATTTCATTGTACAGTAGAACTAACTGGAGTGTTTTGGAGTCTAAAATAGGAGACCTGAGGAAGTTATAGAAGAGAGATATCATTCAAGCACCATAAATGAGTTGTGGAATGAATTCAAAATATCCATGCAGTCTCTAGTTGATAAATATATTCCATCTAAACTTGCTAAGAGCAAAGATAGCTTACCATATATTACATCAGAAATAAGGAAGTTAATCAAAAAAAGAGACAGACTGTTCAGAAAAAGGAAAACAGCTATGAGGAACTTCAAAAATTCAATACCACGTATTAAACACCTAGATACAAAATATAAAGAGCTAGAATCTATTATACAGAATATGCGTCGATAAGCTTATTGGAAGTACGTTGAGGACCTTATCACCTCTCTTCAAGCAGATGACCCCCAAAGTGGAATGAAGCGTTTTTGGGGCTTTATAAAGAGAGTGAGGAGAGATTATGTGAATGTAGGAACATTGAAAAAGGGGGTGAACTGATTAGCAACTGTAAAGATAAAGCTGATCTATTGAATAAGCATTTTGAATCAGTTTTTACAAAGGAAACACCAATTACACCAGGGTTTCTGGATCACCATACAAGTTGCTTGACCAAATTTCTGAAAACATCCCAAAAACATCTGAAAATTAACCTTTCAGAGTTTTTAACATATATCTAGAAATTGGCCGAGTTGAAAGAATTGAAGTTCGAAGTTAAATGCAAACGTTCATAAGACACATCTTTGTGGGCATACAGTGAGAATGCTCTTCATACAGTGATGCTTACATGTGTACTAGCTGATAGATTATACTGAAGATGACAAGGTTGGTGGAAGAACTAACTCAAGGCAATGTCTATCTATTTATTACATTTGAAAAACTGCATTCATTAGACACACCCAACTTTAATGAAGATGTAAACAACTTGTAAGATTGTTCACTTAGTCTGGTAAACAATACCTGATACAGTCAGCAAATGGCAAATAAGAAAGCCACATCAGACTATAAAGCAATTTCCTAGACGCATTCAGTTTGCTGGGGGCTTTGGCCCCCCGATAATTTACGAAATGTAGTCAAAACTATACAAAAATTGCATTGATCTTGGTTTTTAGCATGTTAAGCCCCCCCCCCCAAAAAAAATGTTTTAGCCCCAACAATAAGTATTATGCTCCGTGTTCCTTGGCTGCTAATCTATCTTCCCCGGCGCAAACTGGCTCAATTCTATGTGCCCTGTCTACGGATTCCATGTCAATACCACAGCACAGTCCAGATCCTGGAACCCCCTTTAAATTTTTCTATATAATTTTCCTTTGTACCTTGCATTGGTAGGTCGATGTTGTCAAATCCAAGACAGGTCCGTCTGCTGAACTGTTCTGTTTCCTCAATCTGGAATCATATTGATTATGCTGGAATCGAGTTTCTCAAGCAGCACGCAATTGCTTTCTAGGATTTCTATAACTGTTTCTAGTGATTGAATCTTCGTTCGCCCCTTTTCCAATTGTTCTTCAAATTTCTCTTCAATTTCCCCGTAGCTCTTTCCAAGGCCTCTTCTATGAAATCCTTCTTTGGTAAATTTGCTATTTCCGCTTGCAAAGGAGCAAGTGCATGGGAAATATTATTCTTAAACTCTTCCTGTCTGTTTGAAATGCTCAACTCGTGTGATAGGCCCTTCACTGTGGCTTTCAAATTCGTAAAAAACGCTGCGTTTGTTGAAATTGTATTTTATTCTCGTGAATATTTCAAAATCCTTCAAATTATATTAATACAGGCCTAATAGTTCATGCTTGGAGCGGCTAAAAAGAACTTCCGCTTCCACCTGCCACCTGAAAAAATTCTATTCGTGCCCAGGCAATGATCAGTGGAAAAGTAGTCTAAAGTTTCAAACTTTTAAAGTTTATAAACGATTGGTGCATCATTACCTCCAGGAGAAATCTTTGGTTTCAGTTAAGAAAAAAGCACAAATGTTCATATTGCTTGTAAACTTTGAACAAAACAAGGAAACCTTGGGATCTTCATTTAAAGGGCCTCTCCAGCCAAAAAAAAATTTTTTATTGACTAAAAAGTTAGCATCTGGTGCGTGTATTGTGGCAAAGTCTTTGTTTTTGCAAAACTCCAATTAGTTTAGAAGTTATAAGGCTATAAAGCTGCACCTTTCCGAGAAAAAAACGACAAAAGCCGAATCAGTTTGGTGACATTCTGACGTCACAGTGTGCGGCTCTGTTCGCCATGAATTTCGTATATCTTCTACCGAATCGTGAAGGAGTCATGGTCACGCGTTGAGAACTGCATCTAAATCTACAGCAGGAGCTTTTTAGGATCGAAAAATTTTAGATGTTTACAATCATTCTAAGTCTGAATGTGTCTATGCTGTGTCACGACTTTGTTTTGATCACCTGTGTAGGCCCACAAAGCTACGGCTTCCTGTTCCAGCTCTTGACACTTCAGTTGTTCTCCAGCAACGATGAACAGATAAAGGCTTCAGAATTGATATCTGAAATGCTCAAACTAAAAGCCGGTGGAACAGAACTGAGAGTTCCATCACTTGCAGTGTTCAATTTGCAAATCGCCGTCGTTCAATTCGGTTTGAGGCGAGACTTACGAAATATACTGTGACGTCAAAATTGCGTCACAGTGTCACCAAACCGAAAAATTTTTGTCGGTTGATTCAATTCAATTATCGAAATGCAAGAGCTCATATCTTACAAACTGTAAAAAATATCGAAAAAAAATAACTAATTCGTGATTAGCAGGTTCAACTCCTTTAGATTAGCCAATAAAATGCAAGTGCAAAATTTGGCTGGAGAGGCCCTTTAATTATCTAGATTATCAGCTATTAAATTATTTTAGTGCTTCTCTGAAAATGTCTTGTTTGGCTGTCTGTGTATGCTTGCTGAACTGAGTTAGCCCTTGATATTGGCAATTATAATTGGCTTTATTATATTCATGCATCTGGAAACTATTAACACTTATCATTGCCATAAATATTCCATCTGAAACACAAATCTCACATTATCAATGTACTGACAAGATGAACGGTAAAGTACAATAGATGTTTTGCAAGTATCGTAAGTAGAATTATCTTTCTTGTCTACGCAATAAATTTATATGGCCTTCTTTTATTAGGAAATTATCCAATTGATATTTAATCATGCATCATTTCCAGATTATTTTACAAATGAACTGTTGAAATTACTCGTTTTGATTTTTCATCTAGCTGATGATGAGACGGGCTTGTCCCAAAACGTTTGAAATAAGTGGAACAAATCTTTAGTGAAAGTCGTAGTGACTTCTTGTCACAACACAGCTTGGTCAAATATCATTTCGTTGAAATGTCGATAATCAAGCGGATGATGCACGATTTGTTTACAATGAAAATAAATCTTCTACTAAACATAAGTATTTTACAATATTCTTTTGACATGTACTTGATATGTTTCACACTGTTTAAAGCAATTCTTTCTTGAATTTAGCAAACAAAAGTGGAAATTTTGGATAGCCTAGAAACCAAAGCACTTTTTCGTGCTTTGTTGGGCTAATGGTTCTCAGGTCGATGTCGATTTGATTTTTTAAAAGGTTTCTTAAAGAAATGTGTCAAAATACCCTTGAAAGTATTGCGTTTGTTGTCGTCACGCAAAAGCCTGGTATAGCGTACTGCTGTATATTAAATATTACAAAAATAAATGACAAAGAAGCTTTCAGTTAGACCAGTCAAAGTAAGCTTGAGCCTCTGTTTCTATTGGGAAAGAATTTATTGCATTGAAGATATCACAATTAATGGCATGAGAACAAAAAATCTTTATTAGAACGGCAAAAAAATTGATTTTAAATTGCAAACAATGTCGCATCCTAGTGTCCAGTTTCCCTTAGTCACATTCTTGTGTCCAGTTTCCCAGCTTTCAGCTTGAGGGCTTTGACCTTGGTTAGCACGTCTTCGAGTTCATGAACTAATGAATCGGCAGTTGCACTGAACGCATCCATTTCCACATCACCATTGAAAGCTCCGTTCAGATTAGAGCCTAAAATCAATGGAACTCCATCCATTTATGTAATTTACTTAAAACAATAAGATGCATGGTGCATTAGCATCGCTAGAAGGCTACATAATATATTGCTAGACATTTCAGTTTTTAAGGCCAATCATATATTAGTGATAGATTAATAGTAAAAATTTACGGAGTCATAGAGACGCAAATATATGAATGCATCAACAGTACAGAGAATGTAAAGGATGTCTTGACCAGGACTGCATTAATAGCTCAGTTGAAATTTGCCTAGGCCTAAAATTGATAGAGGCCCATAAAAAGATGGCAGGTATAATAAAAAAATTAATAGAAGACCAATTTTGAGAAGTGAAGACAGTTCAAAAATTTAGCAGATCAGCCAAAAAGGCGGGAACTTAGATTTATTTTCTATATCTGCTATTTTTTGCACTTTAGTGACGTGCTATTTGATTACCTGAAACCATAAAGTCTGAAGGCATAATTACTCAATTTGACAATTGGCCCAGACAGAGTGGGACCAGACTAAGTGAGACAAGACTAAGTGGGACAAGACTAAGTGGGACCAGACCAAGTGGGACCAGACCAAATGGGACCAGACCAAGTGGGATCATTGGGAAATGCGACATTGGCTGTGAATGGCTGAATCGATTGGAACTTGTAAAATCTGGTTAAATTTGCTGAAGCAGCAGTTAAGTCTTCGCATGGTCTTCCACAAGACTAAGCTCCATAGATAGCTTTGATCTTCAAATGTTTCAGACAGTTTGGTAATGTTATATATTTGACTGGCAGTTTACCTTTAGTGTTATTTGTTCCCGATACTTGAGCTGTTCCACCACATAAGTCGATCTTCTTTTTATTGCAGACTCTTCTAACAACTTCATAGATTATTCCAATAAGGAGAAAAGCAACGGATGAGTATCCAATTTGTTGAAAAAGTAGTGTGTAGACACTTTCTGGCAAACCAGTAGTTTTCTTTTCAACTATGAATGGCTCTCGAGATATCTAGAGAGAAGAAGCTATGCTATTTTTAGATGGTCAAAAGAATCATCTTCACAACTCAATTACATTTTTGATGGGTTATTTTCAGTATGATTATACTAACCTTGACTTTAAACAGTACAAACCGAGTAATTAAGCAAGGAGTGCAAGCCATACCTCATGCACTACAAAAATTTTCCTCATGCAGAGCAAAAATCCCAGGTAACGTCCACCACGTAATTTCACAATCACGCTTTTCGAACGTCGTTTCATTCACTAATCGATACTTAATTACACTGTCTATTATCTTTTGCATAATTATCCTTTGAATTTTGCCTATTATTTTCCATTGTCTAGCCCCGTTGGCTATTTTTTAAGGAACTACTTAGTCTGAAGTCTTCCTTCACAGTGAACGGAAGAAAGCACGAAATTTGTTTCATTCTCGCTCATCAGAGTACGCAATTATTCAGTTTACTATGAAGTCGGCAGTTAAATGGCAAGCAATTCAGAAACTTATCAGAACTTTTCGGATATGGTAGTTAAAGTTTTGTCGGATTATATATTTAACAGTAAAGAAGAGCGGTATCTGTAAACAACTAAAATATGGTGGAACTTGTTGCCAGAGCGTCTTCAGCGGCTGATTTGGGTTTGCCTATCGTGATGGCTAGGGCCATAAAAATAGCTCTGTTTCAGGATTGTAAATCCCAGGGGGGTGGGGACGGGGGGACTGGACCCCTCCAAAATAAATCGGGAGCAAACGATTTTTTTGGGAAGTTATAATCATTTTCCTTGAAAGAAAGAAATCCCTGGTAGCTGGGCTAGAACCAAACTACGTTTTTCTGGGTTATTGCAACAAGCCTCAGCCACTAAGTCGTGGTGTCAAGTGCAAGTTGACTTTTGCTGATGGCCGTTATTTTTTAAAGCAGAGTGGTTTTTAAGATAATATGTTCATTCTCTAGGTGATTTCTTGATGTTTAATATATCTCAAGCTAATTTTGTCTATTTTTATAGCTATTGAAATCTTCTCTGAACCAGACTATTTTTAAATCTTCATTAAAAATAAGCAATTATTGTCTAAAATTGGCGTTTTCTAGGTTTCTAGAAGGGCGTGGCCTAAAAAACTTTTCGGTAACCCCTTTTTAGCCCTCCCACATTCAAACTGGTACGCGGTCCCAAAAGCTGCCCCACCTATCGTTGTTTGAACTTTGAAATGCCCTTTTCCTTGGTGAAGATCTTCGAACAACACTCTGGTCTTGTTGATTATCCTTTGCAGTTAGCCAAAGAGTACGGTTTGGGTTTCTAACCGTAGGCTTTCCATCAGAAGACATGTCCATCCCAGTTGTTGTGTTGTGTTTTGTTGTGTTTTGTATTGCGGAATTATGTGTATGGTTCGAATCATGTTTGCGGGGTTATGGATCACATTCTTTCAGATATTTGCTTAAATATGGGTCCAAATTTTGAACCAAAATGGCACGTTACTAGGCTTAGTTACGAAGCCCTTGACTCTGAACCACGCAGCTACTGCTGGAAAGTGGACGCATATATTGATACTATAAAATGTATCGAATTATATAAAAAAAGTTAGTTTACTATAGGAACTAAAAGCTCTTTAATCATTAAGGAAGAATAATGGCACATGGAAATGAAAGCAGAAATCTTAAAATGCTAAACTCGTGAACAATGATGTCACTCGTCAATCAAGAGGCTGGTCATCACACAGGCTGGTCATCACACAACTGTACTTAGCTTACCTCTCTTGGTAGCGACTTTGCTGCCAATGCGAGCATTATGTTTTCATTATCTTTGTTGTAATCAAAGAAGGCGGACAGAAAGGTTGCCCATACTTGATTCTCCTCCATTTTCTTTGTATCGTTGTTCAGGTTCATTGTCTGAAACATGATGCCATAAGTTGTGTCGCTATTGGCAATGTTCGTCTTCACTTCTAAATCCATTCCTGACTTCAAAAAATTCCAGTTGTATCCAAGAACATTGTTGTCAATCAGAAGACCTTTGAAGAGAATCAACTCACCAATTCAGCTGCATTCACTAGTTTTTGGGTAAGCTCAAGTCAAATCAACTAGTAAAACTCCAAACAGTAAGATGATCCTTGACATTTGAACAACCAATATAAGTGTAAATTGGGTATTCTCACAGAATTCTGAAGCAATACAGTATGAGTGAGACAGATTTTGACAAAGACAAACATGTGGATAAGGAATCTAGTGATAAGATGCTCTTGCATTTGTTGCTTCTACTCTGCTTTCAAATAAAATTTGAGAGGATACTTGATTTCTAGTTTGATATAACGATATTCTGAATGCGAAATTTAAGAATGGCTTTGGAAAAAACAAACATTTTACAGAATACTTAAAGCTCATACCGGTCACGAGCTTGCGTTTTCTGATTTGCCTATTTCGATCCATAACTGAGTATATACTTTCCAACTTGTTCTTTCGAACCTTATTCTGATGTTTTATACTCTGAGAAGTGTTAGACAAAATCGCTTCGAGTATGCTGTACAATGTTTGCTTTTTGAAAACCAGTTTAATATAATTCAAAAGAGTTTTTTGTACAGACCATCCACACTCCCCGATTTCAAAGCCATCTTCATATCTTCAAGCTTATTAAATTCTGAAAAAAGATTGTAGTCTCTCAAACTTATGCTTGTCAGTAATTCACAAATTTGCGAAAAGGATACTTTGTGCCTGGCATGTAATAACAACAATCGACAATGTCAACATATAGCAACTTTCTTAACTGTCTTAGTAAAACTGATTATTTGCTTAAGCGTTTTTACTGAAATAGATTTAGTTTTACGCTACTTATTATGAACGAAAACGCTTGAAGAGTTGATTTTCTCAGTTGCAGCAGAGGAATTTTCATATGTTGTCAATGATTCATCGAAGCTTCAGACTGAGAATACCCATTGACATCTTTGCTAATCGGTCAAGAATAAAAAGCTCTTTCTACATATCTTTTCCTTGTTAAAAAATAAATAGTTAGGTAGTGATTAAGAGGAAGAACAAAATCTTGCAAACTGCTATGCTGTCATACTTCTTACCTTTTGGGTATGCCTTTTCCCTTAATGCAATATTGTGTTCATAGCGAGTTACATTCAAAACGCCAATCTGGATATATAAAGATAAATAACACGTAATTAGGATGGCCTAAAACTAAGTGTTAAAATCAATTCAACTAGAAATACGCATTATAATGTCTATGAGGCTTATCAGTATGAAAGACAGATTTGAACATTGCCCAAGAAATTGCTTGCTTGTCTTGCTTATTTCATATTCAACATTCACTTTTGCACAATAATTATTGGCTCTGTTAAGGCAAAAGACAGATACTAACATGGCTGAAGCCATCTGTGAATAAAAAATGACAAATCAATAAGCGCGATACCATTCCCACGTTTAGTGATTGACCAATAGTTGATTGACTGCTGGCCTAAGTCACTTTAGTATCTGACGATTGCCTTGAAAAAAGGGTTTGCAGTCGTGAAGAAACTGTCTTAGCGAAGATGAGACAAAAGCTGTCTTGAAAAGATGTAACCGGTTGATCCATCAAAAAAGCAACAGTCTAAAATGACATGTGATGATTCTCTTCCCCGTTGGAGACACAACGTAAGTTTATATAAGATGGTTGTACGCGTTAGAAGATATTTGTCTTAAAGCAATAACCGAAAAAGATCAAGGCTGATAAAAATGTCTTCCAATGGCGAAATCTGCAATACAGCTGATAATGGGGCTTAGCAGTCAAAAATTTGCATTGTTAAAGAGAAGAAAGTTGCAAAGTAACATCCGCCTTTTTGTTTTCAATGAATGCAGATGAAGGCTGGTTGAATGAATTCTATCGATGACGCATGAATACCATAAAAAGGACACATTGACTTCACCTTCTTTCTTCCTAAATCAACTTTTTCAGTTGAAAGCGAAACCGTCAACGCTGTTGTTATTGACGCGGTAAAAATTCCTGAGATTGCGATACCAAAAACAATCCAAATGATAGCGAAAATTCTTGCAAGGGCAAACTTTGGGCATTTGTCACCATACCTGTAGGGAAAATAATTTCATACACTGAGTACTCATTCTGTCAAGTTTCTGATTTGCAGAAAAGAAAGTGGAATTGGCCTTGAAAGTGGTGCTGACAGATTCACAAGTAACCCGAAAAGAAAATGAACGTAGATGTATTGAAAAATGCAAAGACAACTAGACATCTGTTGACAAAATAGGAAGAAAGGAAGCGAGAAAATAAAAGCTATTGCAATACGTTGAGAGAAGATTCATAGAAATTTCGCTTTTTTATCATTTCATGTTAACAAGCTCTTTAATTAAGTGAATATCATTTGGCTTTTTGTTTACCAGATTTTGCTCGCCTCAGATTAAACAAAAACATGTCCACACGTATACGGAAATTTGTGAAAATGCAATTTTTTTTACGAATACGGCTTGCGTCCACAAGTATCCAGCGTATTTTACGGCCGTATCCTGAAATTTTTGAAAACGGTCTCCAGAGTGGAAATGTTTTGATCCGATACGAATGCAAATACGTGTGGGCACTTGCATCCGAAATTTTTCGAAACGCGACGTCATTTTTGGGTTCCACTTTCTCACTGCTAGTATAAACACAGAAAGGTTGTAGCGTTTTTGTCAGTTGCCTTGATTTCTAGTTTAATATCATGCGTTCAGATAAATGCAGCTGTGATAAATTTACAAAATACATACGTACGAGATAGACATAATGTACTGAAATTGCTTTCTATGAGTACTGGACTCCATAAAGTCAAGAAAAGAGGACAACATCAACGAAGGCGATTCTGGACGCGACTTGGAAGGACAAGCGCATGATGGGACAAGGACGCAAAAGAAATTGTGCCAAAATATTAGTTGTGCGCATGCTCACTTCAAGATTATCTCCGGCAAAAGAACTGGGCACTAGCGCAAATCAGACAATTTACGGATACAAGCGGATACATGTAGACGCCTGAAAACGATTCGAATACACTCCGTGTGGACGCAAAATTTTTCGCACCCGAAAAAAATAGTTGCGGGAAAAAAACGGATACGTGTGGACACTTCAAAATCACTTTCAAAATATTTTGCAAGCAAATCACAGAACATGGAATAACGTGTCATATTTTCTAGGTGACGTGTCCTCGGAACAAAGGCGTTCTTAAGCACATATTTTTGGCTGGGAGGGAGAAAGTTAATCCACGCTAAGTTTACTGCTAAGCAATAATACAGATTAAGGCAAGCGGATCGAGTTAAGGCGATCCAACTGCCAAGTCTAATCTTAAATTTTTAAAACAAAGTTTACTTACCCGACAGTTGTCATGGAAACAAAAGCCCACCAACCTCCTTCTAATGCACCTTGAGGAAAAGGTCTTGGGAAATCGCTTGGATTAAAGCGAGTGTCCTAGAGAAAGAAACAAAAGACAATTTAACATGACCAAAACAGCTTTTAAGCGTTGTAAACAACAAAAATATTTGCTAGTATCTTTAGTTACCAAAAAGTAGTTTTCTGTAGAATTTAAAAAGACAACAGAATGGACGACAATTGACAGCTGCCATAGATTAGCACAGAGAAGCTAAAATAAAATATATTGATTTTAAACTAGTTTAAAGTAAAGTTATCGCATCCGTTTCGATGACATCGCTGAATATTTTGCCTTAAATCTATTAATTAAAAATGTGCCCAATCATAACGCGAGGGGTCGATTAAGTCGTTTCTCTGAAATATGCCTTCCCTTAATTTGGTCATCCCACTAGATTGTAAAAAAAGGAAACAAGATGGATTGCGTTGTTTGCATCCATTCATGGAATGAAATATCTTCCGAATCAATATTATAACTTTGCTCAGTGAAGCAGCCGTCATTCAATGTTTGCTGTTAATGTACTTTTATTGTGTAAACTAAAGACTAATAAACACAAAGACGGCAGACATTGGAGCCAAGAAAAGCATGACGTAGGAATAAGTGTGGTTTTGCTATACCAACAGCCTACCTCTCTGTTATCTTGTAAACAAACCATCTATCCGTGGTGTTTTGCTAAAGAGTTCTTAAGTGATGACGTCACAAAAATCATTTCAAGAAATTTTGAATTCTGATCCCATAACGTGAAAGAGCATCGTGAAAGATCTCTGAATATGCAAAATCAGTTAAAGACGGCAAACATATGGCTAAATGAGCAAAGGCTCTTGCGCCATCAATCGTCTGTAATTTGTTCTCTGCTCATAACTTATGAACAGAGCCAAAATAACAGTGATTCATTGTAATTTATTGCATATATCTAGCCCGGTTAAACGCATTGATCTCGCATTGATTTGATCTTGCATATTAGGAAGTATTTAATAGAATTCTTTGTGGTATGTGGTCAAAGTTCAAAAGGTCTAAAAATAGTTGTTACGTGACGTCATTCTCAAGAACTCTATTAGTTTTCGGGTGAAGCTTTTTGAATATAGCATTAAAAAATGTAGAAGAAAATTTCATACGTACACAAAGCCATATTATAAAGCCAGCATTAAGGGAAAGCATTATGGAAAGAACTAGAAGAGGCCATGTTCTAGAAATGGCGTCCAGCAAATGCTCGTAGCTTTCGCCGTTATCAGGTTTATCTTGACATAGGATACGCCGGGCGTTGACATCATACTGATGAACGGGCCTGTGAAGTACGTCTTAATTGACTTGGTTGCCAGGATCGGAAAAATGGCGGTGTATGATGCATTCTCCATTTCACCTGAAAACATTGCTCCAAGGCTGGCTATTGGCTTTCTGTATCTGATTCTTCGGCATCCATAGCAGCAAAGGTCAATTGCTTCTTCAAGAAGGCCTACAAATTGTCGAAACAATACACGTGTACTGAGAGACTTTTGCTAATTTCTATGCATTTTTACTCAATATGTATTTGCTTGGGCTAGCAGTAAAAAATAAGGCGATTTTAGTGTTTTGAGCACAAATGCTACATTTAAGGTGAATTTGCACATGACGAATAAATCTTTAAAGAAGGAAATGGCACAATGGCAAATTAGTGGATGACAGTGAGTCAAAAAAATCCATTTTCAAAAATCTGTCATATGTGTATAGTTTACAGAAGGATTTTCTCGGAGTGGAATTATCGTAAATGGGTTTGGCTTGATTGGGATCGACATGGCTTCATTGTAAAAGACATGAAAGCTTCATTGCCTGCAGAAAATCGGATTCGAATCGCTACGATGAAAACGAATTGCTGATTATTGCTTTTATTCAAGTCAGCAAATCTCGTGAAGGCAGTTTGATCAAACAGAGGAGCAGATGACTAAATGCAAACAAAGCATGGCTGCTGACTAGATTCAAACGTCGGTGCTCTTTTCTCTGTTTCTTAAAACTGAAAAGCTCTCTAACTCTTTGTTTGCTATTTGCTCTGTTTCATTTTGTTGATGCTGAAAAATTGCGGAATATGCCATTTACGTCATTTACATCAAAAGTTATATATTTCAAGCAGTGAATGAATTAAATCCCTACTTGTAAGAAAGGATAGCTCCGGTACAATCTAGCTTATATAGGGCACCCTAAGCTGAGAAGAACACCAACCCTGAGCTCAATTACCACTTTGTGTCTTATAAACAGCAATATTCGCTGTCGGCTTATTCACTTCACAATCGTTTGACCTTTCTCCAACGTAGAACAGTCTTTCAGCTAAAAATACCTCTGCAGAATGTGGCCAGTGTGATTTCTTGTAAACAGACTTTGTGGATTAGATATATCATTGAGAAACCCTGCATGTTATTGGCGTTTAATTACGATTCTGAGTTATCAACCGAGACAAATCCGTGAGTCAAAACTCTTTTCAAAATGTTCTTTAGTTGATAAATAAACAATCGAGCAATGAAAATATTCGTTTCCATCAGTTACATTTCATATTAGATAATTCTTGATAAAAATTGCGAATATCACAGGCCAAATAGAATTTGAAGACAAAGTAATGGAACTTTATTTTGAGCCAGTGGTTTGTGCGCAAAAACTGTTTTATTGTTGTAACGTTGCAACGTTTGATTGGCTTTGCGCTTGTCCACAGAGAAATCAAAAAGGGGAAATCCCAGGAAAATTATTCAGCTGGACGAGCATAATCTTAATCTCATCCTTTCCTGTCTGGGAACTGCTTTAAAAACCAAATTGCAATTTGAAACACCAGCAAAAGTATACATACTGTCAATGTCTTAATGCCGACAACATGCATTTTATCACCGTTAAAGATTTTTAACTTGCACGTGACCTCACTCACCTGGTAACAGACCTATCGATCTTCCTGTTCTGTTATCAGCAATTACATATGGTGGCATTTCGAAGAAAACAATATCAAAGTGATTCAAGCAGACGCAGCTGCCGTAAACATCTGAGCAGTTTTTACGAAAGTCGCGCTCGAAATCGAACCTCAGTTCATATCTATAAACGCATTTTGAGATTCTATTAACACAAATGTCAGCCGAAGAACAAGAAAGCCAAAGGATAAAGCTACCAATCAGCATTGTCTTCATGTTTGAACTCCTTGCAATGATCTCCATGACATAAATTGTCACTTGAAAAGCAAGTAAGGTTGACAACGTTATAGCATGCACTGATAGTTGAAAGGCTTCTAAGAGAAGATCAAGCTGATGTTCCCACGAAATTTAGCTGTCTCGCTCCTTGTTCTCCCTGCCGTTGTTTGATGGGGCATCCTTGTGTAATGCATTCAAGCATTTGTAATATAAATGTACGGGGGTTCACTCGTCATGAACTTAATTGTGCAATAGGGCACCGTTTGCAGAATTTTTGTTTTTCTTGGTCACCTGATAACAGCTTATTGGCTGATTGATTCAGACAGTTATATGATTGATTTCAATTTTTAAAATTATGCCAAACGCGCGATGAATGGAACAGCTGACTATGGTGGCTGGTTTAGAGCTGTTTCTGAAGTTTGACGTCCAACTTAATCTTTTAAATTCGTGATCACTGGCAATGGAAAATAGCTATGCCCTATTGAGATTCATCAATGTTGTTTAAAATGTCTAAAACGTTAAAGTGAAAAATCAAAATTTGATTTTGAGTTTTAAAGCTTTAAATTGTTTTGAAGCATTATATAAAAATGAACAATGGTTACTTCACTCTGACTACAATTCTGTAAAACGTGAATATGGTGATGCAAATATATAAGATGACTTTTTAACCGAATCAGAAGTTATCCAGCACCGTGTAAACGCAGTTTAAGACATGGGAGTTCAAATTTTGGCGCATTGAGACTTGTGAAACATTGTGTGCCATCAAAACTTTAGCACTCAAGCTGTGAAATAAAAGATTTTGCGGTAACGTCAACAAAGCAAGTATCAAAACTCAAATCTATGATTATGATAACCGTCTCTAAAGTGAAGCAAATAGAAGTAAGTAAATTATTTAGCATAAATCATTGCCTCTACAGGGTTTGGTCCAACCGTAGTTTCCAACTTTGTGTAGCTTCCTTTTTTGAGTATCATGAGGGATGTTTTGTGTCTCTCACAATCCAAACATTTGCTTAAGAATTGCAAAAATTTAATAACATCAACTTGTCAAGGAGATCTTTGAAAACAGTACCACGTCAAAATTTAAATGCTGAAAGTTTCATACCGAACTTTTCCTCTGATGATGCTATCAAAACAGGGACCTGTGGGACATTTTTAGCTGGCTCACATTTAAGATTTATCACAGTAACATTTGGTAAAACGGTCTTTAAGATGCCATTTTGCAGGGGGCTGCAAGATGCACAATGACATTGAAGTCTTTTGGATACCTAAATAATAAAGCGTTCACCTGCTAATAAACCTTTCTGTTTCTTGTCTTTGGGATCAAGCATAATGTATGGAGGCATTTCATAAAAGGCGATGTCCATCCCTTGGAAACAAATACAGTTAAACACTCTGGTGCAGTTCCATTGGAATACATACGCAAAGTCAAACTGCAACTCATGCCGAATTCTGCATGTAGATTCCAAATCTACACACTCCTGGCACATGAAGTGGCTAGCACCGAGCACCAATGCGACAAACAGAGCCAAGAATACCATACTTGCCTATCGAGACGTCCGCTGGATTGGCATGCTTTACCAAGGCGTTTTCATTTATAGCTTGTTTCATATGGTTTTCTCTTCAATCTCCTTTGTCTCTCATTTATCTTATCTCCTTATAATTCCCAAACATCCCTCGATATGGGGCTTGTTGTCAAAACTCAGCTTTTTATAAGCATATTTAGACAAACACAAAAGGATCAAATTAATACCAATTAAGTGTTAATAAAGTTGCCTAACAGTAGTAAGTCATTTCACAGTTGCACGTCTTACAGAGAACAAAGCTTTAATACGGCGAATATAAGCCGCAAGGAGAAATCTAGGACGTTCCACCACAACTTGTCTACTCAAAGCCATTCACGAACCCGATTTACAGAAGTCTTCCACCAACTGCAGACGAGATTATTCAAATGACCGAGCTGGTGAGTTGAGCCAGCACCCGGTGCAACGTGGATCCCAGGTCAAATATAGGTCATGTTAACACACCCTTACTCATCATATTTTGATTCAATTTTTGGCGTTAAGAAAAAACCAAATTCCAGCACTAGCTTTCGAAAGAGCCCAAACAACTCAAAGGAAATATCTCTGAAGGGATCTTTCTAGTAACTTTTTATGGATCAAAAAGTAGGTTTCTGTCTAAATTTTGAATATGAAGAGATGCTTATACTCACCAGAAAGTAATCCTTCAGTCTTTGTTTTGCTTTGAGACTTCACAGTGTATACATATGGCGAATAATTATAATAAACAATATCTACGGTCTGATGGCAAATTTGGTCCATCTTAGTGTTGCAGTCAAATGCTTCGAAGTATTGTGAGAAGTCAAGTCTCAGCTCAATCCTTAGTTCACACTTAGGCAATAAATTTTCAGGGTAACAGGGCAATATCCATGAAGCGAGCATAAAAAATGCAAGTCTTAACTCGTAACTCATGTTTGCATAAAAAACTAGATATTTTCAGCAACTTGGATATAAACAAAGACATTAATTATTCATGTTAATAAACGCAAGACCTGTTTTTACTAAAGTAGGTCGCAAGACCCAAAGGATCTCTGATGCTATGAATTAGATCAACAAGACACACTAATTAGTTTCAGTAACAGAGAAAAACAAAACTAAACCGAACTTTCACAAATGCTTTAGCGCTTTATCTTAACTCAAAACGTTCTTGAGGTTTTAACGAAGCATTTCAGGATATTGGTTCACCAGAAACCTGCCCAACATCTCACACACCATTGAAACTAAATTTTGTACTAGCTCGCAATCACAAAACGAAGGGGATAAGGAACGTCTTCATTAAAAAACTTAACCTATAACAGATAGTAATGTTTGTAGCTTTGAGGATGATAGCCAAAGTGTTTGGAAAATGTCAAGATAAAACGATATGAAAAATGGTTAGCAAGTAAAACATTTATTGGTTGAATGGCTTTTAGATTAATCAATTAAATTTTGCAAATACTGAGACCCGTAGGAAATGATAGCAAAAAATCGAATAACCACAAAAAGATTAGGTTACGTTGATCGGTTTGTTTCTTATCTTGTAAATGAAAGCATGGAAGTTATACTATAAATCATTGATTTAGTACTTCATAAAGTCGCCATTACTGTGACTCTTTTCTAAATCTTTTCATTAAAAATCTTAACATCTATTCAGTTTTGTTATGAATCCAGTTTTGCCGATGTAGATAAAGAACATTTAATAGACAAGCAGCTGTACGGGCACAATGACCTCCTTTTGCTGGCGCTAAAAAGAAGTTGCACAGTTCTCTAAAGAAGCTATTCGCTGTTTTCTAGCAATCAGACAACCAATGTGGTTTAGAGACGGTATAATTTTAATGTGGAACATTTTTTTGCAGGTGCTCGCATTGTTGATGATCTTTAATTCTCTATATGTTGCTTAGATGATGTTTAGAACGCTAACAATAGAGAGCTGTGCTTCAAAATCACTCATTAACGAAACTTGGAATAGAACTTTGATGACCCAGATCATCATACTGGATTAATCTTCTGACTCGAGACATCAGCTACAATACAAGTTGTATAGCAAAATGCTCCCTAAAAAATGCCATAGACATCAGTCGTGAGAATATGTTCTTACATCATCAAGAGCCGTTTGTGCCGTTGGTTCATCGGTGCCAGTCACGCAACCTAGCATAAACCTGTAACAAGACAAGGCTACTAACGAAGCTACATATTGGGTGGGGATGGACAAGAAAAGTACATTTTCCCCACTTTAAAATGCACCGTATAAGCTGATGCGGCAGTCCTACTTAAAAGCTTTCATGCCCAAAAAAGTTTTCATGGTGCTGGAAAAAAAGACTAAAGCCATTTGGGTTTTACCAAACAAGCAAACTTTCGAATAAACATACAAAAAGTAGGTGGGTGGTTTAGGAAAGAGCGAGCAGCACTCTTCTTATAAGGCTTCACCAAGCAAAGTAACACCTACGCTATGTCGACCCCATCAAATTTCTCTAGTTCAACCAAAAAAGTATCTATGATTCTGCTTTTAAACTTTATTCAGCAAGAACTTTCTTCACTGGACACATTTTCTCCTCCTTTTCCCCTTTTTTGCCTAATGTTAACGATGTCTTCACGTAATGCCGTCTTTTCTTAATCTATGTCAAAGAAGAACAGACAGGAAAGAATTATTTGCCGCTATCATAGTCTTGATGTTATATTTGATTCTAGTTTATCCACCATCAACATCAAATCTTTATGCTACGCTATCTTTACAACTCTTTTAACAAGAAACCCTTTTGTCAGGTAATGCCTTATTATCAACAAAAACATTCATTGGAATTATCTTTCATCTGAAACTGAATTTGTGCGAGTTTAATTTAAGTACTTGAATTTTTTATGCCACAATTTGAAAATAGGATTAAGAGGGAGCACATGAAAAATTTCAACTATAAAAGAGACTAAAGTGTTGCAGCTCAGCTTTCAAACTAATTATTCCTTTGAAGATCTATTGAAAACGTAAAGGTAACCTCTTAAGAAGATCTTCTTCGACTTGAAGTTCCACATAGAGGTATTATAAGCCTACTCATCTTTATTTCATGTATAAATTACTCTCCAAGCTGTTTCATTTTTTCACATTTGGTCTATTTCTTGATGCTGAGAGTGCTAACAATAGACAAAAGATACTGACACAATAAAAACAATATCTATTGGTACTTATTCAGAGCAGACGGCGGGTTAGTTGCAATTAGATTCGATAAAAAAGTAGGGAGATAAAAAGTAATGTATTTTAAACCAAAGCAACAATGGCATTGTGAAGTTATCTAAAGGCAAGAAGTAGCAACATAAACAATGTAAAGTGTTTTGATAGATGAAAACAATGATTGAGAGTATGCCGTGTAAACAAAGGATAATTGATTGATTACTTATCGACTGTTTGCAACTCTAGGTTCCGAAATCACTCCCATTCTAAGCTTGAAATAGCTCGTTGACTCAAATCAAGTTGATGTTTTCAAAGTTACGAGATTTTTTATAAACTTGAAGACGAAAAAATATTTCTTGATTTGTTGAAACTTTTCTAAACAAGCTGGCTGAACGAGATTCAGTAAAGAAATCCTACCAATCAAGATAATGAGGTTTTCTTTTTCACAGATATCGACACAATCATCAAACTAGAATAAACAACTTCAGAAGTAAAATTTTGTACTAGGATTTTAAATTCTGAATAAAATTTTCAAAGACACATTGCGATAGATTCTGAAATATTTGTTACAAAGTGAAATATTCAATGGAATTCATTATTTTGCAATCCTTACCCTTGATGTGAGTTTTCTTTGCAAATATACTTTCCAAATAAAAATGAAAATCCAACAGACAGATAGAAATAAGTGTCAATCTATACACATCAGCAACTAGCAAGGATAATCTAGAAATATTTTGTGTTTTTGCAGACTTTGCACAGACATGAATGAGCAAACGTATCAAGAAAAATGAAAGCTACTGTTTTAGCCTCAGGGCAAATATTCTTTTCTTCTGCTGAACATTTTGCAAATGTAAGTGTGTGGCTCGAAATGAAGACGAAACAAGTAATCTTTTTTGATATTACCAGTAGCAGTTAAGCAGATCCTACTATATAGCAATTATGCATGACATTTTTGTTATAGCTTGTGTAGAATTGTCATACCGTAAAATTTTCACATAAAAATTTATTTTTGACAGATCCAAAAGTTAATTTTTTGTTGCTGAATCGAAAAATCAATGTTTGCATGTCGAAAAATTCTAGGATATACATACTTATTTCTGAAATGTAAACAAGTGAAAATACTATTTTTGAGATGCTTATTCCGAAGGGGCTTTAGTGGGAAGTTTTTTGCCGCCACAATCTCTGATATCATCCGCGGTCCTTCATTGCTGTATCCGATGCAAAAAATAATATCAAAATTGTGATATGAATTACATAAAAGCGATATGAAACAGACAAATAGCATAAAAGCTTGTTAAACTGGGTTCTAACTGACTTCATTCTGGGACCAGAGTTTTTCATGACAACCGGATCTCTTTTGGGAGAAATCATCTTGAACAATGATATTATTTTATCAATGATCTTGAACAATGTTCTTGAAGAAGTGAATTGCAAACGGGGTCAGCCTCGTAGCGACATTCTTGCGCGGTAAAAACAAAATAATGGAATGATCTCATAGCATGGTTGTTGCTGGTGAAAAGGACGCCGTTTGGTGGATTCGATCTTGATGTAAACAAACGATAAGAAAACATTCTCATTGCGTTAACAAAAAGAGACTGCACTGGGTTTCCTTTTGATTTCGCACTGCTGCATGATTGATAATAGAAAGAAAGATGGATAAGGATCGCGACGACAAAAGCCAAGTGGAAATTGGCGGACATGAAATCTCAAAAGAAAGACTCAGTGTAGACGAATTTCTCGATCGAGTTGGGCAGTGTGGGTTCTATCAAATCCGAACTCAGTTAATTTTCTTGTTATTCATGCTGCCTCTCACCTATCAGGTCATGATAATGTACTTTGTTGCTGATAACCCTCCTTGGTTCTGCAAAAATGGAAGCAAAGAATGTCATATGAAAGGGCTCATTGCATCACACGACAGCAAAATGTTCCAGAAGCGATGCAAATTGAGGCAGGGTTCTTGGGAGTATTCTAAACCAAAAAACTACTCTATAGTCACTGAGGTAAGTCCCTGAAATCTGAAAATTCCTAGGTTCTCTAATCCTCTAGCCTTCCATTCTGAAAATGTTAACAACCTTGACTGTGGAAGTAGCAAAGGATTTAGCTGGTCCTCTTGCAAGTGAAAATGGAGATGCATAATTACCTTTCGAATTTTCATATTTCTGTTTTTTCAGCAGCTAAATGAAAAGTTATTACATTGACAATGGTTTTCTTTTAAAGCTTGGCTATATGAATTTAAATCACTTATAATGTGTGGCAGAGTACACCCTTGGCCCTGTGTTTATAACCTTTTTTGGGTATAGTTTCTTCCACACACGTTGCAAGACAACCTGAAGTACTTATTTTTCTTTGTGCGTTAGTTAATGGCCCAATGGCTTGTGACTTTTGCATGAACTATGTGTTCCTAGTGTTTTTTCTTTGTGCGTTAGTTAATGGCCCAATGGCTTGTGACTTTTGCATGAACTATGTGTTCCTAGTGTTTTTTCTTTGTGCGTTAGTTAATGGCCCAATGACTTGTGACTTTTGCATGAACTATGAGTTGCTAGTTGGCGGAAAAAGGCCATAGTTCCTTCTTCTCAATCTCCTCAAAAATGGTCTGGGTTTTATTTATGGCCGTCTTTGTGATTTGGGCACCAACAGCCCAAAAATGGCCCAAATGATGGGAGAATGCCACCTTCAGTCTTGTGATAAAAAATTGTCAACTATTCTGAAGACCACCTTATTTGCTGAAGTTTTTTGTATGGTAACCTGGAACAATGATTTATTGACATTCTGGAAATTTACTCAAAAAAATTTAGTGGAGATCTTGCATTTCGATTGAGTTTGCTGTGCTTAGATTTGCAAAAGCCCTGGCTGCCATCAATACAGGAGCTTCTTTGCATTTGATTGCTTCTAAATTTTTTTGGAACTGTTATTTTGATTGTTGTTAAGAATTTTTCAATAAAAGTCTCCTTTTTTTAACATTGGTATTATTGAATAAGTCAAAGCCATATTTTTGTAGAGGGTCTAGGCAACCACTAAACTTGCTTGTACAAAAACCCAGAGATAGATAGCATCATCTGATTAAATAATCACAATATGATAACAGCAAACCAATATTTAATTCAATGTGAGGTTCAACATAAATAACCTAAAACAATGTTGTCTTTTGTGCAGCCACAAAATACCATGTACTAAAAAGGACCTGTCAAAATTGGTTTCATCAACATAGGAATTCCAAAGTCAGACCCAAAGAGGGATAGCTGGAGAGAAGGGCTTAGGACATGCCAATTAAGACCATCTTTGTCATTGTAGTTTATGACCTACAAGATTACCAGTTTTAAATCTAATGTGATATTAAATTGTACCAAACTTGGCAGCAAAACTTGGTTTTGAAAACAAGGGAACAAAGCAAACAATGACATAGGAACATAAGAAGAACTTATAATTTCCACTGGAACCCTAGGAGCATTATTTTTGTTTTAGGAAACAAGGGAATATTTGTTTCCAGCGAGATTAAATTTTTTTATCAGTGGTGACTAATTGTAAAATTGGCTGGTGGGGGAAAGAACAATCAAGAACTTCTAGAGTAGGGCTCCTTGTTTGTTGAATTGTGCCAAACTCTACACAATGCTAGCTGTTCTACAAAGTATGATTAATATATGAATTGCATACAATTTTTCATGGAAATTTTATCCCTAGTTTAAGTGAATTATATTTGAAGTCCTATAAAAGTTCATATATCAATCAATATATTATAACATTAACTTATATATGATGAACCTGATGTCAGATCATTTTTAGAAAGAGCCTTGAAAGGAAAATTATTCTATTTTTCTTTATTTTCAAAACTTTGATAAGAATGAATAATTAAATGAAGTCAGCAATTCTGATTTCAGAATATGTTAAAAGTCAAGCTATGTTCTTGATTACCTTTTTGAAAAATTTGAAAATTGTCTGTGCCATACCAGAGGTTGAACCATAGTTAATAAGTAACACAATAAAATCTATTTCCGCAAAATATGCTATTTCTCTAAAAAGTTTGCTTCAACACTACAGCAAATTCAGAAAAGCCCTAAATTAAGCAAATTTAATTATAACTTTGCTTTGGAGCTTTTAAAAAGAATCTGGGAAAAATCAACTAGCCAGTTTTACCTGTAAGCACAGGAGGGTCTTGACTAAATTTTGAGTAGGGGTCTGCTGCAAGGACATTCAAAACTGTGCAATTTGCTAGACTAATTTCTACAAAAAAGGATACCCTTGGCATAGTCTAATATTGTAAAGTCAAACAATTGGCTAGTTTCATTTCCAAGTCATTTCTGTTAACAGATATCTTAAAATTGTTGGTTTGAACTCAGAAATATCAAAGATCAATTTGTTTCATTTACTAGTTTATTCTCAGCACAGATGGGTTGTCAGGAAGACTTTCAAAGGCATTCTCTAGACAATTTTGTCAAATGCGAGACCCTTGGCTAGGCCTTGGCTTGACCAAAATATCAGTATACCTCTGGCTCCTCCAGACTAAAAGTATAACCCTGATAATAAATTTAAATCAAGTGAAACAAATCAGTGGTGGCGCCAGCCGCATAGGGCGGAACCCAGAAATTGTGTAGGACCACGCCCTTTTAATGATAGGAAACGCCCTTTTAAATGTAGGAAATGCCCTTTTCAATGATTTGAAATACCCTTTTACCTATAGGAAATGACTATGTTTGGAGCAATTGAGGCTTTTCAATTGCTTGTCTGCATTAAAGAGTAGCCCGGCTGTCAAAATCTTTTTATTCTCAAAATAAACAGTCTTTATTTTCTATTCTGATAGATAGGTCATTATGCTAGTTCTAGAGCTTGTTTTTGACAAGAAACAAAGATACAAAAAGCTCCTAATTATGAAAATATTAATAGAGAAAGAACTTAGTTTATTAAGATTTCTTATTCTATTTGAACAATTTCTATCAGCAGTTGAATTTGTCAAAGGCACTTTGTCCCGATATTACCATAGCGACAGTAAATTGGAGTCAAGTCTCAATAACTACTGGAGGGCTTTTTTGACATTTGTACATATTAACTTGGCACCAGATGCAAAATTTCAAAAAGTCGATTAGTTATAGCAGTAGCTTGCGGTGGTTAGCTAGCTTAAAAACGTCTACTAATTTGCTTAGCGCGATGTTATCGGCAATGTCCCGTTCACTACATATTTGCACAAGATCTTCAAGTCTGTCAGGAGACATAGCAGCCCGTAAATAGTTATTAATTATCTTGACTTTGCTGTGAGGGCGCTCACATGATGCCACAGTAACTGGCATGGCTGCAACAATTGTAATAACCCGAAACAAGTCAGCATACAAATTGTGCAAATCATTCTTGCTAAAAATATCAAGCAGCGAGGGCAAGCACAGCCAAGGTTTCCTTTCATCTTTCCTTTCCTCCACATCTTTTTAGTACTTATCATATTCGCTTTTCCACTCACAGCATTGCTGTGATTGAGAAAAAAGGAGAAACTGCTGCCCAGCCCGATTTCTATCAGGCTTTTAAAATTTAGCTATTGCCTCGATTTTTGACACATTTGCTGGAGAGAGATTGTGTGGATAAAAAGCCGCTGCATGTGACATCGTTTCACATGCTTGGTCAGAAAAGCGCTTGTCGAGTTTGCTCAGAAATTTTGTCTAAAAATGGAAAGTAGAGCTCTTGTCTGAAGCATTCCAAATCTGATTCACCATCTGGTCGATTGCACGGGAAACTTGATGTTTCAAGAATTGTTTGCCATCTGTGAAACGAGCTGGGAGTGTACGCCGACGTTTTGATTGCAAAGCTGCTGATTTCGGATCGGTGAAGCTTGTATCCAGAATTTAGCTGCCATATCGTTCAGCAAAAGAAGTCGCTTCGGCGAGGAAGGTATCGAACTCATTGTCAGAACGAAATGATTCCATCATGGCTCTCAGATCTCGAATGGCAGCCACTCCAGAAATGAGATCCATATCTTCGTTTTGGAGATATTCAAATACATATTGACTCAACGAAAAGCATTTATTGAGTATGAGGCAAGCTGCTACAAATCGAGATTGCCTAAGACGAACCAGCAAACCAGTTGCCATATTGATGTGCTGCTCTGAAAGCACCTTGAATATTGACAACAGGGCAAGGTACACATTCATAGCAACCTCTAAGTTGTCTGAGAGGGCAGAACACCTTGTATCAGAAAAGAAATGCAAAACGATTTTCCCAGAAGTAATTCCTTTCGCCATCAGATGGTTTTCGTAGACTTTGTGTCTTTTAGGCGACCCTTCCATGAAGCGATATATGTCTCCAATGGTTTCGAAGATGGCTTTGATTGTTGGTACGTCCTTTACACTATGCTCAAGAACAAGACTAAGTCTGTGAGCAAAAAAATGAAAATATATTGAAAATTCGGCACCAGCTTCTGTCAAGTGCTGCTGCACACCTTCGTCCTTGCCAGACATATTGCAGCACCATCGAAGCCTTTTCCAATCAGATTTTTCAGAGGAAGCTTGAAGTCGTTCAATTTCTCGATTATCACTTCAGATAAAGATTTCCCTTTCAGGCTGGACACCTGCACAAGCCTGATACACCGTTCAGTTATTTTAAAATCTGTCACATACCGAAAGGCTCTTTTGTGAGAAGTTTCTTCGTCACACTCAATAGAAAAGTGGTTGGCTACACGTACTTCGTTGCAGATAGTCTCAGTGATAAGGTTGAGAATACTGATTATCTCATTCTGGCTCATGTGGAAGAAATATGTAACGTTCTGAGGATGTGAGTATCCATCCATTTCCTCAGGGGTGTGTGGTACTTTGAGACGTCGTCGTCGATAGGAGTAGCTAACCTGAAATTGTGTCTACGCTCTACAGAGAGCATATGCATGCTTGATTTCGCATGTTTATCTAGTTTCCCCTTCTCTTCTGCAGCATTTTTCCAATTACCAAATCGAGATTTATGAAGGCATCATCTGAGCTTTCAACTGAAATTTTTTTCTAAAATAGTTACTAGAGCTCTTGCTGCAATTTTTAGAATGAGATGGAAAAGCATTCATCAGTTAAGGAAACCAAAGCTCAAAAACTTGTTCTAGGATATCAAAGATGCTTTGATTAAGCTGTGCTCTCATTTGAAACATTTCAACAATAAACTAAGCACTGGGAGAAATGTATTAAACAAACGCCAAATATTCAATTTCACGGCAGATTATGAAAGCATCGCAATCAATGTCTTTGTGAGAGCTTGTACAGAACCTTGAGGCAAAATATAGGTTTGTAATGAACTTTTATTCACTCGGCAAATTCTTATTTTTGTTATGAGAATTACAGGCAGAATCTGAGAATCAAGTGACTAAAGAAGGACAACATGATGGAAATAATTTCTCTTACCAAGAGAGCCAAAGCTTCTGCAAACAAAGCATTCAAAGTGCTTTTGAGATTGCAAAGTTTAAGCCAATTGAATTCTTCGTACCACTTTTTTGAAATTTAAACTTTCTCTCGACAAATAGCTATCATACATTTTCTTTTGCTTTTATCCAACAATTTTTTTAAAAGTCAATTACATTAAAAAATAATAGAAATCAAGAATTTCTTTGCATTGATAGTGCAATACTTATGTTTTTTATTGCACCAGAATTGTCATTTTTACCAACTAGTTTCTCTTTATTAAGATACATTACAAGGTTCTTTCGACCAATAAGGCATTTTGTTTTTAATACAGGACAAAATGAATTCAGAAGCAATTTTTTGTACCCGTCTGGAGGTGAAATTTATGTGTTTGGATGTGAGCAATGATCAGCTTTATGGGCCATCGGGAGCTCTATATTTGGTCATTTTCATGAAAAACAGTGAAGAAGGTTATATTTCGTTCTTTAATGAAAGTTTTTATATGGTTGACAAGAAATAGTTTCAACTTTCATGTATTGATTGTCTTTGGAGTGACTGAAGAGCACAAACGGTCATTTGAAATCTGTTTTATTTCTTCTTTCAACATTTTGCAAGGAAGAACAACAATGTGTTTCATGAGCGCATCGCTCATTTTTATTCCTAAATGTCGATCTATATTATTCCTAATTAGTGGGACATTTCCTTAATTGATATTGACAACTATGACTCTCCGTCCAAAATAACATTCGACAAAATTGATTTGCATCGGAATATTTGGCTCATAAATCGCAAGTTAGTGAGATTTTTCTCTTCGCACTTCTTACTGAAAATACAGGGTTAAAAGTATATGTCATTGAAATTGCCATTAAATTTTCCTAACGCAAGAGTAAGTTTTCCATCATTTTGATTTATTGACTTTTGGCCTAAACACACTCCCAAATTTGGGACGAAAAGTTACATCATGGCAAATGATGTCAAATTGCAACACTTTCTCGACTATGACGTCATAAGCTGGAGCTTAGGATGAGTTAGTGAATAAAATTTAATTTTTAGCGTTTTTGCTGTTCAAATTTTGTACATTTCTATGCAACTACAAGCAAGAAAATTCTTTTGAAGCTTCCTTCGAGGATATGATAATGTTGTTGACGGTTTAAGAGTAATATTGACGGATTAATTGTTTGTGCCTCACAAAACCATGTAAGTTGCATGGTGACTGCATTTTAGGATTTTCCTCTTGGATTGAAAGCTAGAAGGGTACCGGACCCAAAACTGTTACAATTCCTTCACAGCGACTGCTTTTTGTAGTTTTTATGTATATTATATTGCTGCTGCGTGTTTGAGAATTTGCGTTTATTTTTAATATTCAACTCGTATCTGTTGATTAATGTGTATTGTCAGTACCAGAACCGCCTGGAAGCAGCAGCCATTACTCTATCGATACTTTGCGTTGATTATTCCCTTTTTAATGTGAATAAAGCATTAATTTTTTATTTTGTAAGTATTTAGTTGTTCTATTTCAGCCATTGTAGATGTTGACGTTCCTATCTTTTATTATCTTTTATTGTACGTTTTATGTATTCTCAAACAAAAAATCACTGAGGCATGCGTGCAACTAAATTCAACTGCCACGTTATTGCATTGTATATATAGAAAAATGCCTTGCAATAGATGACACGATAAAGCACATGAACCATGAAAAATCGTTAAAGTACAAAAATGTGCTTAGCATTTGGCTTTGGTAGATTTCAGAACAAAATACTGCTGATGATTGGAAAATAATGCTGACGACTCGGTAGTGTTTTGTAATGCATAGTTTTTGTTTTAGGTTCCTTTATCATAAAACTGAGAAACTTTTCAGCCAAAGGTTTTGGTTGTCACAACAAATCGCACATTGGTAAATGAAATAGTCAAGAATGGATATCTTAGTAAGTGAAGCAGATCATTTTACTGAACCAGATTCATTAGGGACATCAGGACAAGATGGCATACTTCTCGAGGAGCCGTTTCTCGTGACGGTGGCTTTCAGTAGTTATGATTTTAGTTAACCACTCTCTATATGAATTGTATTTATTGCATAGCAGCATTTTGAAATGGTCAAAGCTTCGAAAGTTTGACATGAATTGTTTATCTTTCGCACCTGTTTTATTACCTCAACAGTTCAACTTAGTATGCCAGAAAGAGGTTATTGTCTATACTGCGAACAGCATTTTGTTCCTTGGTTGGACCGTGGGCGGATTTGTTTTGCCGTACCTTTCCGACCGATTCGGGCGTAAAACAGTACTGTTCCCGGCAGCATTCGTCATCATTATTTGCGGATTCTTAAGTTCCTTTGTTCATGACATGTGGATTTTCATCTTGCTCCGCCTAATAATCGGATTTTGTCAGGCAGGCAGCGTGAACATATTTGTGATTGCAACAGAAATCGTTGGACCTTATTACCGATCAATCTCTGGCACATTTATATGGTTTTACTTTACATGTGCACTTTTGTTGATGACGCTGAAGGCGTATTATCTGCAGAACTGGAGGAACTTAGAAATCATCTGCTCACTGCCATTTGCTGTGATCATGTTGTCTTGGAGGTAAGTTGTCTTGTTTTTTTTGTCAAATAGCTCTTCTGTTGTAACTTAGGTAGTATTTGCTTATTGTTGGGTGAAAGGTAGGTAATTCAGCCAACTAAAGTAGGTGCTGCATTGCCGTCTTTGCGATGCTGGGTTTGTTTTTGGTAACATCGGGCAAGAAACACATAGGTGATAATTGCAAGAGACCTTGATCCCTTTGTCTGATTGTGCCTAAATGGAGATGTTTGTGGTGTCGTCTTATCGATTTTAAGCTGAACTGCTCGCAGATGTTTCATACAAGCCAATTCTCTGTAAATATCTTAGCAGTTTTTGCTGAGTTACATTGTTTATTTTCTGCAATTTTTTTCGGATATTTAATCTAGAAGTTTTTCAAACTAGGTAATTTTCTTTTTGGCTATTCAGATATGTTCCTGAATCAGTGAGATGGCTGAGAATGAAAGGTAGACTCGACGAAGCAATGCAAGTGCTTAAAGAGATTGCCCGTGCAAATAAAAGAGACATTTCTAACATGGAGATCATTCCAGTCGAGAACAATTTCAACTCCAAATCAACAATTGCAGATTTGTTTCGCTCGCCAGTTCTTGCTCTTTACACTGCGATTCAAATTTTTGCCTGGTGCGTGACAACAAGTACCAATTTTCATGTGAATTTTTTTAACCTCGTCTGTTTTGTTTACGGAACTAATAAAAAGTCATCGTAGATAAAAATTTTTCAATTTGTCATGGAAGTTTGGTCGACACTTAAACTTCTAATTTGTTGAATACTATTATAAATCTTAAAACAACAAAATATTCAATATTGAATAGTATTTTGACGTCTTGTTTGACGTAGGTGTCGTAGAATTGTCATTTTAACTTCATCTGTAATGTTTAAGTTTTATTCTGATGCAAAGCGAACCGTTCAAATTTTTGTCAGCCCATTGTCGTAATTTGACAGGGAGCATTTTTAAAAACGGACAAGAAGAATTTTTCTTCGCCTTCTTTTTTAGAGATCCTCTACATGTACCGTTTAGAACTGACTGAAGGTCTTCTGCATGTACTTGCGTTTGCATACGTAAGATTAAATAAGACTATGTTTGAGCAATTTTCTCATTCGCTATCCATTATTCCACAGGCTTGTGAGTGGCATAACATTCTACGGCGTATCGTTAGCCTCGAGCGACTTGGGAGGCGATCTTTATGTTGACTTCATTCTTACTTCAATCGTCGAAATTCCTGCCAACATACTGGTTATTATCTTCACCAACAAGTATGTACCTCACGTTTAGGACATAAATTTCAAAACTATATAGACATCATTTTCAAGACATAATCTTCTTGAAAATAGAGGTTGATGAAAATTACTGTTTGTCGGTCTTTCATAAAGTATTCGATGCCATATAGACAGATCTGTATACGCTTTTTGTGTATGAAACAGGACGGTACCAAGTCGCTACTCCGAGTTTCACGCTTAATGCAGTCATCAGACAACTGCTTTTGGTTATACAAATTTTGGTTGTATCTCATCTTATCACTGATGTTTTTTCTTCACATTGTCCATGGTCCAGCAGCAAAGATGATCAATTCAAAGCCATCGTCAGATCGTGACAACCTTGTGTTCTCTTCTAGATTTGCGCTCTCTTGTGTTCTATGAAATCTAGACAATTATCTTCTGCAGTCAACGTAGTATCTGCTCATCGGCTATTCGCTTTCATTAGATCGACATTTGCCTTATTTATCAGCAATAGAGACTAGTTGATCACATTTCATGAGATGCATAATTGCAAGTGTGTATTTGTGTTTTGCCACTGGCTTCAATTCCCTTTAATCGACAGGTGTGGAAGACGTCTCACTACAGTTATCAACATATTTTTGGCAGGATTTGCTTGCATAGGTGTCGCTGCTGTGCCTTCAGGCGTGATCAGCAAAGGTAACAAAGCTTCCAAAATTGCAAACTCTGCTAAAAAGTGACTCTTACATAACAAATTTTCAAAGATACGTAAAATAAACTCTAGGATCACATCAGACCGGAAGTTTCTTGTCAACGTACCATCCTATCTATTCTTTAGATTTAGTTTTTGCTTGAGTAACTGGTTGTACCACATGCATCCTGCCGCGGAACACTACTCTTGTTTCGATATCAATGAATTCGGGATATTTGGAAAACTAAGGAGATAAGTGATTTCAACTGTATTTTTCAATTCATTACTTCAAGAATGTAGACAATGAACGTCTAACAGATTGCACATTCATCCTCAACGACATTACGTGTCAATGATCCTCGGAACTTTCTTCAAGACTCCTTCTTGCATTAATGGAGTTCAATAATGGTAGACTGAAAATTCATTTGTGTGTACGTCAAAACTCCAGTCATTTATTAAAGTAACATTTAGTAAAAATTCAACTTGTGTCCTTCTTCTTGTTTTTTGTTTTGTATTATGATGTATGCAGTTACAAATTCGTAGTAGTTACACCAGTTGAAAGGAATTCACAGGATAATTGCCAAATCTGCTTGCATCAATTATCATTTCTTTATTTACAGGCCTTAAGTTTGCAAAAGTTGGATTGGGAATGCTTGGAAAGTTTGCCGTCACCCTTTACTTCAATGCGTTCTACGTGTGGTCAGCGGAGCTCAATGCCACCGTCGTTCGGTAAGCTAACCGCCTCTAAACTCAATTTGTTTCTAGCTGACAGCTTGTTTAATGTTTTGAAGGCAGGAGGCTGCAACCGCGATACTATTAATATTTATCACAACTGAATTTCAATTCGTCGATGGAAAAGACCTCTCAAGCCTTAACCTAAATTCCATGTGCTCATTATTCAAAATTTATTATGTCACTTCCACGCTTAAAGAAGACAAGTGATATTAAGGCTAGTGATATTAAGATTTATGGTTATATTAAATTCAGTGCAGTTAAAAGCTGTGACAAGAACATTCACTGATAAATCCATTAAGGGGATAAAATGACAAAATGGTATCTTAAAAATAGTAAAGTTTTAGCAGTTTTTTGTTGATTTTTAATGCTTTTTCCTGTTGTGTTTCATCCGTTTAACTGCCTAAACAGTAGATTTTGCTGTTTCAGAGCTCAAGCTGTTGGGATCTTAATAGCAGCCAGCCGTGTGGGTGCGGCGATGTCTCCGTTCGTAATGACTGGTTTGAAATACGTGAATGCATCACTGCCGTTTGCATTAATTGGGATTCTCAATTTACTCGCTGGTTGTTTTTGTTTGTATTTAAGAGAGACTAAAGGTATCGAAGTTCCTGATACAATCGAAGACTGTTTGAAGCTACTGCACCAGGGGGGAAAGAATCCCTCAGGGGAGAATAAATCGGTTTCCATAGACAGCATGCCCTGCTTAGATTTAAAGAGTCGCTTAGGAAGTCATTGATTGGATCGAGGGTTCAAAGTATTGTACATTGGAAAAATATTATTTGGAAATTCGTTTTAAACCGCAAATGCTAATGATAATCCATTTTTGTCTTGGGATATGGAGTGTCATAAACGAAGCCATTTAACTGCTTAGCAGGAGGGCTTTTGCATGGATTTGCCATCTGAGTAATTGGTTACCCGAAGCAATTGTTAATGCTAAATGCTAGGAAATTGCTTTTCCTCTAATTCATTTTTAAAGGGTTCTAGGAGAGGGTTCTAGGAATGACACTGTTCTATGGACCAAAATTCATTTTATAAAAGGAAGAAGCTCCAGTTTCAGAGAGATCAAGCAATGAATTGGAACTGGTCGCAGGCAGAAACACACGCTTACATGTAGCACGATCGATGACAAGATGTCTTTTATTGATAAAGAGCACATTATGATGTATCGTTTTATCTTGTATTTTATTTGATTGCGCGAAGTAAAATCAATCAAAAATACCGAAAACTGAAAGCAATAAGACAACAAGCAAGCAAGCAAATCAACCGAACAGGAGATAACTTCAGTAATTAGCTTTGATTTGATGACCTTAATAGTACTAACCCTAATTTCATTTTTTTGGACTAACCCTACAACTGTTAAAACTGACAACTCGAGATATTACAAAATATAAATTCAAAAGTAAATTTTCAACAAGCAACTTTGCAAGTACTATACACGAGTTGTATTTTTATTTTTTCTTATACCATGCAGAACGATATTACTTTACGAAATTGTTGGCAACGTGACAAAGGTAAATGCCGTGATACAAGCAGAGCATCGTGACAGTTTGCAATTCACCACGTGAGGATTTTGATACCACTTATGCCAAATTGATATCTTTTTGGCGTTGTTAAAATTCCACCCATTCGTTGCATTTTGCAATTAAAGCTAGCTACCTTTTAAAAAGTTATTTTTAGAGGTGGCGTTGTCTGCGTTGACATCCATCAAAAATCTCTAAATATTTTTCGAACAGAACAGCAAATGAGAACACTTTGATTGAGGAATATTTTGTGAATACTGACCATTTTAATTTCACTTCATTGGACTAAATGTCAGATAGCGCCGTCATCTTTAGGTTTAAGCTTCACATTCGCTCAATGATCCTTCTATGATCCCTCGTAACGAGGAAACGTGATAGTGTAAAGCTCCTTTCAGATTGTAAGCCTCCCATGCAACTTGTAAATAACTGTATTTCGTCGTAAAAAAATTGTAATTCGCCAGTCAACATTATTGTAGCAGAATAATCATATATTCTTCATTTGATTTATTTCCGAGCTTTGTTTATAGAAATCGTTGTGTCAGTGCTTAAATCCAATCTAAAGTGTGTTACTGAATTGATTTTTGCATAGCTTGTCAAATGATATTTTAATAGACGATGTTGTGTCTTAAGCTTGTAATCTTGTTTAAATGTCACAAAGAAACTGCTTATTGAACAATTTTTAAAGGGACAAAATTTCGCTTGTACCCAACATAGCTAGAAGAATGTCAGACTGCCACTGGTGATACTTTGACTGGAAGAAATAGACATACGCAAGTCAGGATTAGGATTTTAAGATCTGTAAAAGTTCAACAAAGCTCCTTTGTGGGATTCAAATACGATCTGCATCAACAGATTTTATTGCCAACAGGGATAACTTTTAGATTCATTCAAAAAACTGGCCTAGATGTTGGGACTGAGCAGGGCTTTATAGAAAACAGGCCTAATAGAAAACAGGGGCCAAATTGCAGGCAACATCAGTGACAACTTTCTAGCACCATTTTCACTCTTCAATTAACTTGAAAGTAACAAAATCCAAGCATCAAAACCTTGAAATTAATTTTGTAAATACAAATTATTGTATTCCTGTACAGTTTTCAGGTGAAAATGTCTATCTATACATGTCATATTTGGATAAGAAAAGGCAAAGACAATTAATGTAAATTAAAGGTGCATTTATTCCAAAATTTATCACCATTCAAGGCATAAAGGATCCTTCACACAATGTTTAAAAAAAGGGCTGGTCCAAGAGGTTGGTCAAATCTGGGATCAGTAGCACAAGTTAAGGTGAACAAAGGGGCATGTAAGCAAATGCAGGGTTGAATCTGGGTTTACTTTTTATAACCCAAGTATGTTAATATTGAATCATCTGTACACATGTTATCATACAGTTGACACAATTTTAATGGTTCCAAGTATTATTATTCCTGATAAACTTCCCAAAACTGAAAACAAAAGCAAAAAAACAAAACTTTTGCTTTTGCTAAAAAACCGTTCTTTTAACACATGGGGTTTAATGTCAAACAACCAAAGTTTCCTGAAAAGCAACTAAATACTGTGAGATGTTGTGAGATATGAATTTTATATTGACCAATAAAAATTGTTTTGGAATAAACTTGAACATCTTTGAAAGATAAGAGAAAATGAAAAGATCAATGAAAACTGTTTGGATGATAATTTATCAAAATTACATGGCCCTTCTATATTTTTTGACAGATTAACAACTATAAACCTTAGTTAGGCTAATTCTGAATTGCAAATGTTCAAAAGTTCTTTATGTTCTGCTTTGCTTGATGAGAATTCCTTTGTTTCAGCCAATGAAATTCATCACAACCAAATGTAAAATGACATGGGCAAAGATAAAATCAGCAAAGGCTCTTTCTGGTGACAGCCCTCTGAAGTCCAATTTATTCCTGGGGTTGGTCTGAATCCTCAGACAAACTAAGGTAAAATGAAAGATAATTCATGTCAAATAGTAAAATTGCCAGCCTTCAACTGATTCCTAAATTTATATCACATTTGAGAATCAATGTTTGGAAAACAGCAATTTCTAAAAAAAATTCAATTTTCTCATAATAAACTGTCACATGAACAAATTTTTAAAAATCAAAAAAAGTTGAGATGTGCTTTTCAGGGAGTTTAGGCTACTTAAATCTGCAATTAAGCCAGGTTGATGTGTTGATCTTATTCTTGTTAAATTTTGGGTAGAATCTGTGTAAAACAAACTGGCCAATAAGAAATTTATGTACGGTATCCAGACCTGCTTATTTTGCTATAGACACATGTAAAGCAGACTTTTCTTACACTTACGCATTCTGTGCAATAAAATTCTTGGGCTATTCAAATTTTTCACTTGCTATTCCAATCCTAACAAAAACCCTCTTTCCTTACAAGGCATATCAGATAACTGAATAACAACAAATCCACACAGATTAATTATATCCAAGATCTAATTTCCATTATATCAGAGAGCTAGTTTAATATAATCATTTCTTTTCTTGCCTGGACAAAACACAGATAAGTTCTATCGTTACTACAGTACACATTAACCCTATCCAGACTAGGCTTTTTGAAACTTTCGGGAGACTAGGGGGGGGGCACAAAGTGCCCCCCCTCCGTAATTTCTTTGTCCCTCTAGCTAGGACAATGAACTTTGTTTTGATGGTACTCCTATCTTTTCTCCACATTTTAGTATTATTGTTCAATTTTTAAGTCACGTGGTTTTACGATGACGTCATCATAATGGTGGCCGGGTGAAGCAAAAATTTAGAAAATTTTAGAAAATCTTAAAATAATCATTAATTCCAAAGCATCGGGCTAAGATATTAAAATAATCAAATTTGATGCATTTTCTAATAGAAACAAGAAGATTGCCACAATTTTAATGTTACTTCTCAAAATTATTAACGTTCCAAACAAAAGAACTCAACATATTTTGTATTTGGCTATAGTATTTTCTATATAACTAAATGATCGATACAACCAAATGTCATGTTTGAATTCATTTTTAGTGCCTTAGCAGACAAATTATTCTAAACTTGCAGTTATATTAATGTAATGCCTATAAATCTGTCAACAAATGCGTGCGCATGCGCAGCAGAAAAATCATAGAAAAGGATGTTGATTTTGAATTTTCTGGTCAGAATCATGAAAAGAGCACAAATTTATGCCTAGATACTAATTTTCATCAATATATCTAGTTTTGTTGCGAATCCGTGGCAGATTGAACTATTTTTTACTTGACTAGTTTTGAAAACGCCCCTACACAACCCCCTGATTAATAATAAAAAAATTATCTTTTTATATGAACATGTGTCAGATAGGTTAAAACTAAAAGTCAGGAGGTCTGAGGGGTATTGCTTTGAAACTCCTGAAGTTATGAGAGAAAAACCAACCAGGGGGGCACTTTGTGCCCCCCCCTAGTCTGGATAGGGTTAAATTGTTTGGAAATGTACCAGAGAATATCCCCTGAGTTAGAGTTACACTATACCGAAGTGTTATCAGGGCCGGTCAGAGCAGAGTTACTTTTCTCAGGAGTCATAATATGGGGTTGCAGTCACAGACGATGGTTTAGGAACGAATGAAATCCAAACATGAAAATGTAAGGATGATATCTTCTTTGGGTATTATCCAATAGCCTGTCCAAAATCTCAAGAATTGTCATTGTTTCCTAAAGACCATACTGTTTCAAAGCAGAAAATGAAAAGAAAATGCTGGGTTTTAAAGCGGAGCATGTCGAAACATCTTCCCTACCTTTCCTTTTCCACAAAACCCACTCATTTTCAAAACTCAAACTTGACAGGTCTGGGTATCTGAAAACTTGAGACTTGAAATTTAATGAAAGTTTGGATTTACAAAGGACTGAGGGTTATTTCATTTAACTGCCAAGGACATTGTCACAAGTTTGTGCACTTATATCTCAGAAAACGTGATTGTTTCAAACAAGTTATTTTATATATAATATCAATAAGGAAATGTACTTATGTACAGAGGCATATACTTAAACCTACCTCCGAGAATGAATGATCCAACGGACGAAATAAACCCAGAAAGGAACGAGTTGAAGGGAAACGTACCAACAAGGCAACAATACAAAAACTGAACAATGCCAGTTAGCAAGATGTAAAATAAGTAAGCATCGACAATTTTCAATCTCTTTGGTGTCTTTAAGTTGTATTCATCATAAAGTTTGCTTAAAACATTGCAGAGGTCTGACAGCGCGCTCATTTTGAACACTTTTTGTAATTGTTAGGCCAGTCTAGTGACTTCGAATTGGACGACACGTAGAAGAGACAAAGAGGAATCAGAGCAAGATGACCAGCGGCAACTGGCCTCGTTTTAAAAGCATCGCCAAAAAGAGGCAAAGCAGAGGAAACTAGTGAATCGAGCAACTTGGTGTACTGATCTTCTCCTTCTTGTCCCAAGGGGAGAGGGGGTACTCATTGGTGTACTGATCTTCTCCTTCTTGTCCCAAGGGGTGGGGGTTCTCATATATATTTAGGATAGGGGTGCTCAGGTTACTTTTTTGGGTCTAAAATATGAGCGAAAGTTATTTTTGGGTCAGCCAATTATACAATCACTCTTTTGGGTTCATGAAATGCCGAATTATTTTTTTGGGTCTTGAATGTGAGATAATTTAAGAAATAGAGAAAAATATGGTTTACAGATAAAACATGATTTATTTTTCATTTATTGCAGATAAAAGCTTCATAATCATAAGAGTATGTGAATTAGTAATCATAAGAGAATGATACAAGAAACTCCCACAAAGCTTACAATTAGCTAAGTCAAAAACGAATTCCGTATATTTAATTTTTTATGTCTTCATATTAACACATGCATTTTTATCTTTTTTTCTTTCTATTACACATACTGCATTTACCCTGGGATATTTCAGTTTATTAATGAATTAGATATCTGATTTCCTGTTGTCCAAAGCTCGACACATAACGACATAGCCCTAACTAGCAGCCCTAGACAGCAGACTGACTGGAAAATGTGAAAGGTTTTTAGCCAAAATGCGAAAGTGAAATTACTAGATGATGTAAATTGTGTATCTTTTCTGAATATGGTATACTTGCTTCTGTGCTGTGCATATCATCTCAAGATCATCTATGGAGCAGAGTTTCTTTGGTATTTTTTTGGTGTGCAAGACAAGATTAATTACTTTTTTGGGTCAATATCTATGCCAAAAATTATTTTTTTGGGCTGATGTTTTGTACCCCAGCCTGAGCACCCCTATCCTGAATATATATATATATTTGATTACCCCCCCCCCCCTCCTGGGCTTCTTGTGCCATAGCACATACCATATCACAAAGGGGGACCGCAAATGCCTTGTGGAAGGCAGTAATTTGCCATTGACAAAGATTGAAACATGATTTCTATGTTGATGGCTCACGCTCAAACCCTGTTCCGGGTTGATATCATCGATTCTGCCTCTCGCTATCTACAGACCTTTCTCAAAAATGGACTTCAGACTTCAAATTTATATCTTGAAATTTATTTATACTGAGAAATACATGTTGTTTGGATCGTTCGGTCGCGATTAACTCTTTTTAGACTATTTAGTTATTTCGATCCATTCACCGACCTCTCCATTCAATCTTATGGCAGCTTTCTTTTCCCAACACAGGTTTCTAATCCACAATCAAACACCTTCACATAATCCATGAAACAGATCTATAGGCCCTGTTGAAGCTAAACTGTTCATCTGATACATTTTCCCTGATGGTTTCTTTAACGCGATTTATTTCAACACTCAAGTAAATCTTTCTCATATAACTCGTCAAACTTACATTCCTATGTTTTTTACAATCAGACTATTTGGGTGGAGCAATAAATATTGATTCTATTCTATTCCAAAGACATCTAAAGAAGTAACTAGTATAAGCGCAATGTCACCTTTCCCAGGTGCTTTTCCCTTTTCATTTGATTAATGGCCATTTCATTTCAGTTGGTGTCATTGCTCCTCCTTCCACGGGCTTTCTCATCGTTGGTCTTTCACTCCTTCCGTCATATTTATATAGACATATTGATGTAATTATTCCGCCTTCTTCTGCTTGGTTCCTCATCCACCAGGACTGAGCCATCTTCGTCTTTAATACAATCTGTCAGGATTTTCTTTCTTTTTATGTAACTTCTTTAACCTTCTCATGCATTATTTGTTGGTTTTTTCTCAATGTCTTCAATTTCTTCGCAACATGCTTCTACATAGCCTTCCTTTGCTATTTTGCACATCATCCTGATTTCTTTGTTCACTTCATTATACCACTTTCCCCATCTTTTCCAGTATCTCGCTAGTCATAAAATTTTCGGTACACACTGTTCTGCTGTTTTTATCAATTTATTCGGTATAAACTTCCACGATTTTCTTCTATATTGATGTTTAAAGGAATTTGACACACACACAGGTAAAAGTGTCTTACAGCCACTTCACCCCCGTCCCCTCTCAACGGTTGACCAATCAAATTGCGCAGAGAGAAAAACATGTGAAGAGTTTCCGCCTTTCTGCAAATTGGCGAAATCCTAGAGCAACGCACAGTGGTTTCATGCGAGCAATTTCTAATTCCTTTCAAACGCGCGTGCTCTGAACATTTTTGGATTCGCTGTACTTATGCATGTCAAATGCCTTTAACATCGTAGCTAAATTTTTCTTGGCATAATTATCGTTCTTTAAAGTTTCAGTTGATATTGACCTGTAGCATTTCTGTGATTTCTCCTATGAATTTTCTTCAACTTTATTCTCGTTTTTCTCCTCAGTGGAATACGATCAGTGTCACAATCAGTACCTGGATATGTTTTTACTCTTTGCACAGCATTTCTAAAACGTTATTTTATCAATTTGTTAAATTATGTTTGAAATGAGTGTTTGTTGCAATCATTCTGTCAACTCTACTAAGCTTTTGGCTCGTTCATTTTTCTGGCCTAGTCTAAACTTTCCAACGGGTTTGCTATCTTATTTTTCCAATTTTTGCATTAAAATCATCATCGTTGCAGTCACTTGTGGCCTTGTGGGGGCAAAGCATTGTAACACAACGCGTCAAACGGTTTGCCACTAAGTCGCACTAGCATAACTCTGTTAGAGGTACACCAGTCCCTAGCAATACTTTTAACTCTTTCTTGATCGATAACCTCCTCCACATTTTGCAAAACAAAAGAGCCTTTTTCAAAATCTTTTGATAAGATTGTGAGGTTTTCCTTGACCCCTCCCCCCTCTTCCCCCACTTTCCAACCTGCGTCGGAGTCCATGTCATTTCAATGCTTATCAACATCAGAAAGACATTACATGAAGCTGATGCCAATAAATGGCTTTATTCCGAAAGGAAACGACCTAACCATGTAATATTAAGGCTTAGTAATTAAAGGTATAGTACAGTTTATTGTACAATATTAAAAATTAGTTGATTGTCAGTCGGAAACAATTTGTACCCTTCACCCTCCCAAAAAATCCGTCAATGACGTCCCTGCTACACAGCGTCAGTTTAAATATTTGTAGGGATTTTTCATTTTAGACTTATAATTTTGGATAATTCAATGGTAAGTTTCATGTTGCATTGCCTACACTCTAGGCAGCGTTGCAAATCATTCTATTAAAAGAATGATTGCACCCTCTCCGTCAGAAATTTGAAAACCTGGGCTTTCATATGTTTCAAAATCTACCTGCAAGCAATAGGATCTGGGCACCAGATGTAAAAGAGCTGAATTACAACCAACCCGTGCTGTAACAGATTTTTGAAAACACCTTTTTTGCTACGTATCACGTTAGGTAATATGTCCGCATGGAAGATTCTGCAGTTCTGTCTCTTGCATATAAGTTAAAGAGCAAGCTTTTATTCGTTTTCAGTTCAAGTATTCTGCTTTACCTTGGATGTTCCATGTCTTTGAAACATCATCTACCATCATTTTGCCTCGCCTCTCAAATGCTTGACCTATGGCTAGAAACAAACTTTTTCACCTCTGTGAGAGGTAAAACTAGTCACACAGGCTTCAATAAACTCTTGCTAACACAGTTTTCAGCAGAAAAACAAATAATTCTTTAATGTTTCCATTGATAGATGTCTTCTGTGCTTAGTTTATTTTTCTTTTGAGTAGCACTCTGATATGAGGAAAAGTCTGACTTTATCAGATAACAAAAGAAAGGTTTCAATCTTCAAAATTTCCATTTATAGGTGCACCATTCACTCTCTTTAAAACAGTTGATACATGAGAGCTGTGAGTTTGAATTTTATGGCAAATAGCATATTGCAGATCACTTGCTATAAAAAAGTCTGCAACTATGCAGTCATAAAAAAATTCTGTAATCACAACTAAGAATTATCTTATTTTAAACACTAAAGTGAGCATTCTTTGTTTACAGTAATCTATGATCATCAAACATTTCTTCACAGAGACAAATAAACAAAAATACCATTTTAACAGAAAGACCAATATCACAATAATTAGACTGACAATTTACTTCAATTTTTTAATTACTATTATATATATATATATATTTATATATATAGCAGAGATTTAATCACTGTTTATTAATATACATGGTTTATAAAACTTGTTTATCTAATATATGAATGATGTTTTAAAAGAAGCGTTACAAAATGTTCAAACAAAGTATTGCATGTTTATTCATCCCATTTCATACATCGAGAAATAGCCTTCTTCCATTTACTGTACATACTTTCCCTTGTTTTTGCATCTAGGGCTGGCGAGAATCTTTGAAGCTGCTTTGAATCCTTCGCCATCGTTTGGAGGTCCCAAACCTCAACATCCTTGGCTACACCTGCAGCAATTGCAGCACCAAGAGCTGTTGTTTCAGACATACTTGGCCTTAACACATCAATCCCCAAGATGTCTGCTTGCATCTGCATCAAAAATTTATTAATAGTCATGCCACCATCAACCAGCATAGACTGCAATGGAATTCCAGAGTCTTGGTTCATTGCATCTAGAATTTCTCTTGTTTGAAAGCAGATAGCTTCCAGTGTTGCTCTTACAATGTGTCCTTTGTTTGAAAACTGAGTAAGACCTATAATAATGCCACGGGCATCAGTTTGCCAATATGGTGCAAAAAGTCCTGAAAAGGCTGGCACAAAACACACTCCTCCGTTATCTTTTACAGTTGATGCAACTTCTGATGACTCTTGGGCACTTTTTATAATGCCCAAGTTATCTCTCAACCATTTAATTGCAGCCCCTGTGATAGCAATAGAACCCTCTAAAGCAAAGTGTGTTTCACCTTTTGGCCCAAACTTGTATGCCACAGTGGTAAGCAAACCATTTTTTGAAAATACAATATCTTTCCCAGTGTTATAAAGCAGAAAATTTCCAGTTCCATAAGTATTCTTGGTATCACCTCTTTTGAGACACAGTTGGCCAACAAGAGCTGCTTGCTGGTCCCCAAGAATCCCTGAAATAGGAGTTCCTTGTAACACAGTAGACTGGAGCTTCCCATAAATCTCAGATGAGCTCTTGATTTCAGGGAGGATGTGATCAGGTATTTCAAAGAATTCACAAAGCTCTGGGTCCCACTGTTGTGTTTGTAAATTCATCAGCATAGTACGACTGGCATTTGTGACATCAGTATAATGTTTCCCACCATTTGTACCACCAGTTAGATTCCAAAGTATCCATGTGTCCACAGTACCAAACAAACATCTCTGTTCTGCCACAGCTTTTCTAACCACCTCATCGTTATCCAGCAGCCACTTCAGCTTGACAGCACTAAAATAAGTTGCCAATGGCAGACCACATTTCTTCTGAAGAAAGTCCTTGGACTTGTTGGGTGTCTTCGCAATCAGGGTGTCAACAGTTCCTTTTGTTCTTGCGTCAAGCCAAACAATTGCATTTGACAATGGCTTCCCCGTTAGCTTGTCCCAAACAACAGTTGTTTCTCGCTGGTTAGTGATGCCTATTGATTTTATAGCATTCAACCTGACCCCCTTTTTCTCGCATTCTTGGAGAGTTTTCTCCATACAACGCACTGTTTTTGAAAGCATTTCCTCTGGATCTTGCTCGCACCATCCTTCAAATGGATGAAAACTAGAGATCTCCTCCTGACTGAAACAAAGTAATTCGCTTGTTTTTGCATTGAAGACCAGGAACCGCGAACTTGATGTCCCTTGATCGATAGCACCAACAAATGGCCCATCGCTAATGTTTTCTACATCCATAATAAATGACTTGCGCTTACCGCCACTCTGTGTTACCGCCTGAAGACAAATTCACACCTTCTTTCGCCACATAGGCCGCATATGCAGAGATCTCATGCTGACTTTTTCATTCCTCGAGGATTAATGTTGTTGCTGTTGTTGCTGTTGTTGCTGTTGTTGCTGTTGTTGCTGTTGTTGCTGTTGAACTTCGAAGTACAGAATGCCCCTTCCTTTAAGCCCCCCTCTTTTAAGCCCCCTCTTTTAAGCCCCCTCTCTATTAAGCCCTTATTATAAAGCATGTCAAACAAAGACTACATGCGCCGTTAGGAATTAAGAGGAAAATGATGCTGGTCCTTTTCGAAAGAATCCCAAAGGACGAAATTTGTTTAGAAGATGTCCCAGGGCTATAAATTTAAATTAACCCTGGTGATTCTGTATTTCTTATTTTTAAGTTGTAACTGCTGCCGTCCATCCTTGGCGATCACACTAGTCCCCCTGGGTAAGATTGCAAATGAATTTTGCTTTCCACCAGGACCTATTTTAGTGTGCAGTATTACACACTTTGTGCAGTATTAATTTAAAAATGTGCAGTATTGATTTCGAAAATGTGCAGTATTGAATTTTGGGATTTGTGAAAATGTCTAATTGCCGCTATCCCAGATTCTCGCTTTGTTCACAAAATGTGAATTTTCCCCGTCAGTTCGATATAGAGGTCATGTATTGCAAATCTCGTATGACCATCGGAATGACTCTCTTATCAAAACTTAAAACAAAACGAAATGCCTAGAAATTTCCAAAAATTGCAACAACAAAATTTCCTATAAAAAATGTAGTTATAAATGTGCAGTATTAAAAATTTCTTAAAATAGGCCCTGCTTCCACAACCCAACTTCCGGTTTGTCTTGAAAGATGGGAGGATGAAAGTACACCAGCATGAAGCTCGTATGCTCAAGGCCAATGCACACTTGCAAGCTCAGCTTTTAAAATGGCCGTAAAAAGTCTAATGCTTACTCGAGCATTGTTACAGTGAGCACAAACTCCACAACTTCTATGCCAAAAGCAAAAACCAAGCGAGAACAAAAAGGCAAACCTTGTCACCAATTGACTTTCGGTTTTCCTGTTTCATTGCAAATAAATCCAACCGAACATTTTGGTCCTAAACGTATAATTTTTGGATTTTTGGTTTTTTCTGTTTCGGACTAAAAAGAAGTTTCGAATGGTGGAATTATGCTACGACTAAGAATGTTATGAATAAAAAATCTGATGCATGCCACTGAAAGATTGAAAGGAAGAATAGAGCGGGTAGCATGTTTATGAATGATTGCTATAAAGTCTTTGCTTTTAAGCCACATGCCTTGATTCATATTTACTTGCTAAAACCTTTGGCTTGCAGGTGTTACAATTCATTTAACGAAATATTGCTTTGCGTGATATTTCGGTACCAAATGTGAAGGAATAGTTAAATTTACAGGAGTCCATTTCAAAAGAAATCGAAGAATGGAATCGGTGCCTCATCTAAAAGAGATGGTACGGTGAAAGGATGTATTGAAATCTACTGTATTGTATTGAAAGCTAGTATCAAGATTGCAATGCAAACTTGGATTGGGTAAGATCTTTCACTCTTTCATAAAGAAAAGAAAATCAAAATGAAAAGACACAGTTGTAAGAAAGTGCCGGCTGTAATTTAAGTACGCAATGCAACATGTAAACAGAATGAAAAAAAATTGATTTGCCGAGATGATCTAACAGTAGTTGAATCAGCCAATATTTGCAATGTACTTGAAGGAAATCAGTCATTGATAAGAAATCATAAATAATGAATGCACTTTCTTACTTATTTGGAATGTGAAAGACAGATGTGCATAAGTTTGATTGGAAAAGAAAAGCACCAATCGACCTAATTAAACATCAAAATCAAGACAGTCAGCAGAAATATCCTAAAGACGAAGACAAGAATAATAGCTCTATTGAGCCAACTTTGGGACATTTGGTATTAACTGAGAAATAAGGTACATTAGAGTGGAATATGTGCTAGGATGGTTGTTGGTACACCGCAAATTGTCATATTTGCGTTGTCAGCAACGGGTTTGTCTCTCAATGCATTAGAACAAGTCTTGCTGTTTAAGCAGCAAGACCTTGGCAAATCGTTTACAACTCTGATATTGTTGTTGTCCTACAGTGACTGCATTATCTGCTTATCCTCAATTTGTAGGGCCTCGGGAATCGCGCTTGGCATAGACACAAAGCACAACGAGCTTTTCAATGCAGCTTCATTTTCGCTGATACTTCTAGGGTTCCTTGGGAATTCGACTATTGTATGGCTTATGACAATGGAAAGGTTCTTAGCTACCTGCTTTCCGTTTAAGCACCGAAGCCTTGTGAGCAAGTGGCGGACAGTTAAAATGGTCGGGTTATTGTGGACGCTGTCTGCGATTATTTCCGCTGTTGTCGCTTATTTACAATTCAAAGAGGGCGGGCATTATTTTCTAGCACCGCGAATCTTGAGATCATTTTTCATATCAACATTTGGTTTACTGTTGGTTTGTTACAGCATCATTTTCATGAGAGTGCGGAGAAACAACATGAGACAGTCAAAATGCAATCAAAGTTACAAAGAAACAAATGGGAGAAAAGGAAACCGATTGCGAAATAAACAGCAACGAAGTGTCTTGAGTCTTTGCTGCAAAATAGTCTTATGTTTTTTCATCTGCCACTCAGTTTACGTTGCAAACAGTTTTCATAGTCCGAATAGGGCAAATTTGGAGGAAAGCTTCTTTACAGCCTTTGGTGTCTACCTAATAATTGCAGTTACATCCGTTGACCCGTTATTGTATTTCTTTAATACTTGCAAATTTAGATGTAAAAACAAGAACAATAGTCAATCGGCTCGAAATCCCTCAAGTCAGCGGTCAACAACTGAACGAGAAATGAATTTGAAAGAAATTTGCACCTGAAGAGGAAGGCTCATGAATGTTTTCAAAGTTTTGACAACAACAAGTGTAAAAGTAACATGGTAACATACCAAAGGACATACAAACATGAGGACATACAAAAATAGTTTATATGCAAAAAGTTTTGCTTAGAAAGTCTCGACACATGAGTTGCTTCAGCAACATCGGACTCAGGCGCTAATTCTGTTTTTTATGGTTTCACAACCCGTCCGAAATACAGGACGTAGCGGAACGTGTTACTGTTGTGATGGCACGGCGGTTGCGTTGTATAAAAAGCAAACCGTATTGGGAAAATGTGTCCGGTATCATCATGACGGAGTCAATGAATCAAGACATTAATTTGCAGTAGTTTATTGGTTTTGCACTCAAATGTAAATTGAAAGCTAGGCCTAGGATTAGCTTTGGAATCTCCTTTTCCAATAGTTTGGCAAATCATGGAATATCTGTGAACGCCGCGAGCAACGTCAGTCACTATTCATTAAATGTAGATCACGTAGAATTAATACTTCAAAGCAAGCATGAATCAGATTTCAATTAATCTAAACTTAATTGGATGGCGAAAACTACTATGTGACTTTCTCGAGTTTTTACATCAGTGAACTAAGCCTTTGATAAACGAGCGAAGAACGACAAGGCAAAGCTCTAACGTCTTTTTTAGTAAAAGATGCTCATATTGTGAATTTCGTGATACATCAAATTCCATTCGTTTGTTTAAAAATTCATAAGAACAGAAAAAGTTCTTTGCATACAGTTTTTCTAGATATTCAATTGCTATCTAGTCAAATGTTTGTAGCATTTATCCACTCAAATATATGCTGCCTCAAACTGCTCCGTCGGAATAACGACATTTGTTACATTTTGAATTGGACATAAGTTAGTCAAGTTAACGATGGAGCAAGGGAAAGAAAACTGATTTCTTTAAAAATGCTAAAGACTATCGAGCACCTTTTAAGTAGCCATTTGCTGTTTTGGCAATATAGTACTGCTAACTTTGCTGTTAGCACCCGCTCCCTCTATCTCTCACACCAAACCCCTTGGCATTGCTACTGTTTTGGTAACATTATTGGGTTTCAATAATAAGTTCAGGTTCATTATATTCTAAATTCTACAACATACATTTCCACAAAATACTAAATAAAAATACAGCAACATCAAATATCAAACAATAACTATAACAATAAGATATGGAACACAAATTATCTGTGGGATATGTATGTATGGGGAATTATTTAAAGGAGGAACTCTCTCAGTAGCAAAGCTAGTCGAGAAGAGAGGCCCCCCTATAGTATACATCAAGATATTTCAGCACTTCAAAAATATCAAATAAATAATACCGAAAATGAAACTCCGATTTCTGTAAGTGGGAAGTGAAAAACAGGGTGAAAAATTTCATGGATTAGCTGTTAATGTTTTTTGCAAGCAGATATGACTTCAATTTATGACGAAAGCAAATCAATGATACAGATTCTTTGATGTCAGTAGGAATGCTATTCCACGATGCAGCACCAGAAAAACGGACAGATCTTAAACCATATTGAAGGGTGTTTTTTTGAGTTAAGAAAACGTCTTTCTTAAAAGCCTTTCGAGTATCATGCTGATGAATAGACTTGATTGATTCAAAGTACGAGTGAAAGCAGACAGGCGATATCTTATTGATACATTCATAAACAAAGGATTTTAATTGAAACAAGTCTTATAATTTTAAATTTTTCAAGTCAGAGAAAATGGGAGAACAAGGAGAACAGAAACTTTGAAAGGCAATAGCTCTGGTCACTCTTTTTTGCAATAAGAAAACTGGATGAATGTGAATGTCATAGGCAAAACCCCAAACTACAAGTCCATACTGGAGAAAAGAAGCCAGCAAAGAGTTGTAGAGACATAATAACACATCAACAGGAACGAAGTGTCTTATCTTAAAAAATATGCACCAAGTTCTAGCTAACTTCTTAGCAAGTTCACTTGAATGGTATTTCCAGCTAAGATTCTCATCAAGTAGAATACCAAGGAATTTAACATATTGAGATTGTTTTATGATTTGTGTTCCGATTTTTATGTTTATATTGTCTGTTAAAGGGCGTTGGTATGACCTGAAAATTATGAAATTAGTTTTCTCAATATTTAAAGAAATCCTGTTAGCATCAACCCATTGTTTGACATAACCCAATTCTTTATTGACAACTTTTTCAAGTTCGCCAAATTTGTCAGCTTCAAAATATATATATGTGTCATCAGCAAAGAGATAAAAAAAACAAGTTTTTGAGATGAATTATGCAAGTCATTTATGAAAATAAGGAAAAGCAAAGGCCCAAGGACAGAGCCTTGTGGTACCCCACATGTGATGCTAAGTAGATTAGAACTAAAACCATTAACAGATACATCTTGTTCATATTGTTTTCTATCAGTAAGATAGGATCTAAACCAGTTAAAAGCTGGACCACGTATTCCATAGTGTTCAAGTTTTCCCAAAATAATTTCATGATTTACCGTATCAAACGCTTTTTGCAGATCAAGAAAAATTCCACATCCATATTTTTTGTTGTCTAGATTTTCCTTTATATTTTCTGTCATGCTAATGAGTGCATGGTTTATAGAATGGCTAGCACGGAAACCAAATTGAAGTGAATACAGAACATTGTGTTGTCCTAAGAAGTTATACAGACGTTTATACATTACTTTTTCTGTAATTTTGCTGAAGACTGACAAAAGGGATATCGGTCTATAATTAGATGTTGTAGCAGAACAACCTTTCTTGAACAGAAGAATAATTTTTGCTAGTTTTATTTGATCAGGGAAAATGCCACACTGAAATGATTCATTTATGATTCGAGACAATGGAGAGGATATTAATGAACATACAATTTTTAAAATTTTAGTTGAAATACTTTTTGGCCCTATAGATTAGCTTTCTTTTAACAGATTGATTATATCAGATATCTCAAAAGAGACAGACGGAGAAATAAAGAATGATTTATTGTTTCTTTCACCCATAAAACATTTCTGAGATCTTGATATTGATTTAGTAACATTGTGAGAGACATCAACAAAAACCTATTGAAGATATCTGCAATTACAGCTGGGTCAAATGTTATATTACCATTAGAGTCTTTCATCTTGGCTATAACATTTGCATTACATTTCTTTATATCTATGATTGACTTAATGCCGGACCATAATTGTTTTATGTTGTTACAATTTGATTGAAAATAATTATAAAAGTAAGAAGCTTTTGTTCTCCTCTAAAGCAGTTGTAACCGGCTTCCTAAATTTCTTTTACAAGTTCTTAACTGTTTGATCATCAAACCTTTTCTGTCTTTTGAATAACCTGTCTGTAATGCGCATCATTTTTTGGGTTTTTCTGGGAACCCAGGGTTTATTTCTCAATTTTATATCATTCTTATGTAAAACCTTTAGTGGAGCATGTTTATTAATCAATTTATCAAGGTTGGAGAGAAATGAGTTAAATTTAGTATTAATGTTTAAGCTCTCATCATTCAAGTAATTAGGGTCTAAGTCAGCAAAGTCATTTTGGAGCCTTATTCTTATAATATTCTATCTATCGAAGCTAGCGGTAAAGCTAGGTTTTCAGTGTCATACTAATCATCATATAACGGTGAATTGGTTATAAACCCAGCTTGCATGAAACTTTAGCTTTAAATCGCACAATTCGTACCCATCGAGTTAGAAGAAACAGGCAGTCAATATAAATATATACTAGGAATTCAGAAATTGAAGCGTTCACATACCATAAGACTTTTATCACAAAATACAAAAATCTCAAAGGAGAAGCTTAGAGCTTTTTGGATTGTCATAGGCGAAATATTCATCGGACATCAGCAATGGACATTCATGAAACTCCGTTGTATAATCATAAATCAACTCTAGTTTCTGTGGCTTGTGCTTTGGCCCTCCTAGATAGCCGCAGTCTTCAAGTGTTTTATGTGGATCCAAATCAATCCGTTTCCCTTGATCATCTTCATCGTAAATTCTAACATAACGAAGAGTTCCACCATGTCTTTCAATTATAACGTTAATCAAACCCTGGATTGTGACGTGTGTATGGACAAGAACTCGAAAGTGGCCAGGGTAATTGTGTATACGTAGAAATGTGAGCAATTTCATATCTATTTGAATAAATCTAGAAAAGAGAGGCACGCAGATGTAATTTCCTTTAAAATCATTTTACCATTGCTAAATACATCATTCCATTCTGCAAAATACACTTTTGTAATAGTCTATTTCAAGTAAATTTCTTAACATAATGACAAAAAAGAGACCGCTACAAAGTAAGGGTTGAATCAAAGAGATTGGAAAAGAAAAATTTAGGAAAAGAAAAGGACACAGATAACAGGGTGTTGTCGAATCCTCATATAGCAACTCACGACATATGTTGAAAAAGAAAAAAGATTCTAAAAAATATTGTCAACTGCTTGATATAAGCCCAGCGAAATTTACCTTTGAGTCACTTTTAGGAGGTCTATGCTCATGGGTATTATGTTAATATTTGGGCTTAAAATGGTCCAAAAGAGATTTTACTGGCTGGCTTTTACTTGGATGGGCCATAGTTCGAAAGTTACAGTGATCCGCATCATTTGCTAGTATTTCTGATGCAGGATTATTACATATTTTCAAAACTATGAAATTATTTTAGATAATTGGCAAAATCTTTTGTACAATTCTGATGCATTTCTTGTAAAATAGTGTTTTGCAATAAAAACAATGTTTGGGTAGAAGATTATCTTCTTTCAATCCAGAGTAAACTCCAATAACAAAAAAGAACAAAGCTGAACAATACAAACAAACGAAGTGGCATGTGATAGAACTGAAAGTGGGAAACTTTACCTTGGGAACTTTGTGTCATTTGGTTTCCACAGCTTCAGCCTGCAGTTTGGACACTGCTCTAGGTCTTCTCTACATATTCTTAAAATTGGCAAACCATCATCAGGAAGTGTTTCCTCCGGTTTATAATACCTCACCCCCTTTGCAAATTCAAGATAGTCCAGCAAACCATCATTATTTTGATCCAGAAGCCTTGAAAGCACATGCAACTCTATGTTTGAGCATGGTGCATTGAGGTCTCTCATTCCAGCTTGAAATTCATTGAAGGACAAGGATCCATCACCATCCTTGTCAAACTTTCTAAACAAATCTATCGCTCTAGAGTTATATTCTCTTATCCAGTTGTTAATTCTGTTTATAAAGGCCTCATGCAGCTCACGATTCTTTTCAAATTCTGCTATCTCAGTTTCCAGTTTTTCCTTTCAGAGCAAATAATGTACATTTTGATAAAAATCAACCTGGTAGAATTAATCTTGAGCTTGACGATTTCAATAGAAGCAGAATACAAATTTTGTAAAGATAATCTATGGCAACTGAGGGGAAGGTGAAGCACAAATGAAGTTTTAAAATTAAAGAACTTACAGGAATTATAGCTAATTAAAGAATTTATGAGAAAAGGTATATAAATAGAAATGTAATTTGATTGTGCTTGCACATTGCAAAAGGATTCCCTAAAGCAATTTACACTTTACTGTTCTCCTGCATTGAAAGAGGTTCTAGCAATGTAGGCTCCAGTAGTCTTTCAACTTAGCATGCTTTACCAATATACTTGAAGTAATAACAAGCACACATCAATGCTTTAATTGCTGAAATTTGACACATAGATCTTGGCTTATTATATTTGATGAAACAAAAGGAAACGAAAGGAAGTGAAAGGAAAGAAAACAAAACAAACAAAACGGATTGAATAGCTCATAAACTGCTTGCAGGGTCGAAATGAAATAATTAAATTCGTGTCAGGGGCATTGATTTTTGCTTGATTGCAAATACTTTTTGAGATATTTGTTCCATTTCGTTTGTTTTGTTAAATATCACTTTTCCTTTCAGTTTGTTTTGTTTTGTTTCATTTTGTTTTATTTCATCGAGTATAATAAGCCTAGATCTTTCTACGCAGAATACCTGGCATTGCCAAGAAAATAAAAACTTTTTATTAACCTGCATGACCAGCATTTTACACCTGCCATTGAAGCAACACAGACATGCCCCTTTACTTAGCATCATTTTGAAACAACTTATGTTGGTGTCAGAGTTTGCAGAATAGCAAGAAATGGATTACAATGCAATGTTTACTTGCATTTGAACACCTAAATGCAGTTTCAGATCATTCAATTTAAGAGCTTTTTCATCCCTGTTATCATTTTTAAGCTTTGTCGACAACAAATCTTGGATAGAATTGGAATACAGTGACACTTACCTGAGCAATCTCTGATTTGGATTTTTTTACAACATTCTTCTTTCTGTACAAAAAAGACACAGAGGCTTGAATTTTTTTGCTAAAGGACAATTATGTATGGATAAATGCAGATAGTATAAATGCCAGGCTATATCTACTAGTTTACAGATCCAGCAAACAATAGAAAATTCATTGTGGAATACTTATTAACTGTTTACAGTATTTTGACACAATAAATCATTAAATTCTGTGAAGCTGGAGAGCATTATGAAACTAAAGGGACAGCTGTTAAATCGCTTAAACCCTATCTCTAGTATAGAAAGCAATATATCCCAGTAAATGGACCTAATTATAGTAATCTCTGTGTTACTTTTTGGGTTCCTCATACTCATAGATCTGTCTTCTGTCTTTTGTCCCATCCTTTTTAAATGTTAATTAAAGATTTATCTTTGCCTTCTTCAACACTAGCCTGCTACTTATTTACTGATGATACTAACAGATATTACAAATGTGAATGTCTTGGTTGTCTGCTCAAAAGTTAAGTCTCCTCAGCAACTTCCTCTAAAACTTGTTCAGATTAAAATTGGTAACCCTCCAACCAAACAGACTTGCTATGAAGATTTAGCACAAACTAATCAACCACCACTCAATATAATTTCTGTTGAGTGAGCTATCACTCCTGGTAAAGATAAACAATAATTGAATATCCTAAGAAAAGATATCCAAGAAGGGATAAATACACTGCCTGAAAATGTGTATTTGTTTGTTTATGTTGATTAATAGTATCACATTATCGATAATTTCATGTCTTCACTTTAGTTTTATTTTCATCTACTGTCATTATCCGAATAAGAATATTACTTGGTGATGATCATCGATTACATGCTATACCAAAAGCTCTTTTTCAAAAACAGTCATTATCAAAAGCCTGAAATAACAGATCAATTTTATCAGCTTTTCACTTTTGACTCAAAAACTGTCCGTGTATTTGATAAAAACCTGACGAAAACCGATGATGTCTAACTTTGTCAGCTTTTTACTGATGGGATCTCTATTCATTGGTGCATACTTTTTTGTTTTAAGTTGGTGTTTTTCTAATACCCTAGCAAAAGATGCATATTTTTTATTGTATATTTACAAACAATTTGGAAAAGTTACAATCACTGTGGTATGCATGGAAGTAATAAAAATGGTCATGAGATGTAATGTCAGTGTTAGAGTAGATTTGAAGGTGAATAGTTTGAAAATCTTTTATCATTTTTCAGAATTTTCATCTTTTATATGCAACCAGAAGAACTACCCTTGTTTCACAATCAAGCCCCATTGTGACAAAGGGTAGATCAAATCAAATCAATGTCAGTTGTTAGTCAAAAAATTAAGTAAACTGATCATGTATGGGAGACATCAGTTTTTGGAAAACTGTCAGACAAAAAAATCAAATTGATAGAAACCATACACAAATGTGTATTTCAGTTAATTGGTGAATAAAGTTCAAAAACCAGGTGTATATTGCATTTTACATTGTTGGAAGTTGATAATCAATTGTCCTTCTTCAATTGAGACAATGTTGAGTAAGCTTGGTGTTGCTTTTTGTGTTGCCACTTTGGTATAGTTTATGAACAACTGGAAAAGTATTCATTGATAAACATTTACACAATTTGACCACAACTTCTGTAATTAATGTTAACTTTGAGAGTTTTGTTACAAACACTAGCAAAGCGATATTTCAGTCAATTTACAGTTTTGGCTGGGTTTTCAAAAGCATATGTGGTGTGATAAACTTTGTGCAAGTACTGACCAGACTGTGGGCAATCATTTGTGTCAAATTCATTGGTGACTGTTCTCTTAGATGAATGCTAGATCCTTTGTGTTTACTCTGTGAATGTGAAGTATTCATATGCCTTCGGTTTTTCCTTATACCCTATAAGCCTCCTTGGTGGATGAATTTGAAGTATTAAGAAGGAAATTTATCGAAATTTTTTTAAACTATCATTTAGAGCTCTACTCTAGTCTTTAGAGAAAAGTTGAGTGATCATTTAACTGTTCTTTTATTTTTTTCAATGACCCTATTATTAGAAACCATTCAAGTAATAAGGTCGAGGCTGGCTGGGAAATGTTGCTGTGTCAGACTGTAAAGTATTTTTCTGCGCGGGAAACGCCCGAACAATAATTTTGAAATTTGAAATAAAGGCTTTCGAAGAAACCTTGTATTCTTTGTTTTTTCTTGTTATGAGAAGTCACAAGTTTAAATGGTGGAACATTCGCGAGGAACATGACCAGATAAACAAATATTGTGCACGGAATCTACGGCAAAATCTTGATAATAGGCGGGTGGAATGAAGGATAAAAATTATTGACCAAACTTTTCAGTCTGGTTGCTGTGTGCATGCGCTGGGACCGTATTGATTGATAGGCGCCTTTGAAGCATCACAGGTAATCCGATCCCCAAAGCTTGGTTTCCACTATGAGTTAACGTGAGTTAATTTGTGATAATTTTGTGATCAGACATGGTTTAAAAATTATCTCATAGTGGAAACGGTCATTACCAATTATCTCATGAAAATTAACTCGCGTTAACTCACGTTATCTCATGAGCTTGGAAACAAAATTTTTTGATTTCAAGCTCATGAGTTAACTTGAGATAACATCTTATCAAAAGAAGCCGATGCGTGGGAGGGGAATGTGCTATAATTTGCACTGAGGTTCTTACGCAACGCACTTGCATTCAGTATTACTTTAGATGTTTAAAACAGTTTTTTTTATTCAAAAAAAATTAATTGTGAAATACGAGAAACATTTTCTCATTTCTAAGATCCTGTTGCAAGTGGTCATATTCACCAAACACATATCTTTTTTGGTAGACTTTCCGTACCGAAAACCTTGGCGCAGATCGCGAACGGCACTTCTAGCAAAAAAATATTTCCCTTCTAAGTATTCTCAAAAGCAGAAGTAAAATAAGTTGTTCTTGTAAGACGCCCGCCCGCCATAGCTGCAAGACTCAAATAAAATGTGATTTCTGAAATTTCCATACCTAATTCTATCTCAAGTGGAAACCGAATCGGTGCATAGGTTAATTTTGAGATAGCTCGCGTTATCTCACGCTATTTCATACTATCTCAAGTTAACTTGAATTTGGACCATGAGTTAATTTCCAATTCAACTCAGAATTATCTCACGTTAACTCATAGTGGGAACCAAGCTTAAGAGCCCAATGTTTTAGCAGCCCCTCTCCAGTCATCTGAAGTGAAAAGGTGCGAGAAAAACTTACTTTTTAGCTTTGCTTTGAGGAGGCATTGCATAGAATTGTGCTTCGTTCGAAGTTTAACCAGCCGCCATCTTTTTGTTCACCTGTTACCATGGAAATAGAACGGGATTTATGGGAGGCTGGAATTCGCTTCTCTTCTTCTTCTGTCTCTCTTCTATGGTCGGACATGGGCATGTCCACATATGTAATAACGGACAGTTGCGGTTCCCGTGTATGCTTTCCCAAAGTGGGCGTTTCTGACGAACTAGGAGACGTGGCAAAACAAAAATTTTCCGGGGGCTCTGGCCCCCTTCCTCGTGCGGCAGTCAGGATTAGTTCTGGATCAACCCCTATCCTCTACATCACTTCATAAAAACTATGGCAACCAGGCATTCATTTAAGGAATTTTCATCACTGCACAAAACAGAGTAAAACGCAGATTTTTAGGGCCAAATAAGGTGCGGCTAAGGGTGTGGCTAAGTTTGGACTGGACCTCTTTTGGACGGACCAAAAACGTTTTACATTGTTTTCAGAGACATTTTCAGTGTAATTTGGCCTAACTATAGCCAGAAGTGGCCTGGCCCACCGGGACACCGGGAAATTTCCCGGTGCGCCCTTTGCCCCAAGTTACTTTTTTCAAAAACTTGAAAACATTCAAAAGGCAACTAACCTTCGAACAAAACTAAAATTAATTACAATCATTAATTGACCTCCTGTCCAAAGTAGGTTTTCATAAAAAGTATTGTTTTACCATTAAGTTGAGCAATATTAAGATTAATTGTTTAGTTTCCCGATCATTGTTATTGTAAAATTCATTAAAGACGAAATTTTGATTAGCAAATTCTGCAAGATTTTTTGAAAACCTTGCAAAAAACAAATTTTGTTTTGAAAATGGCTTTGAAAAAAGCAAAAATTTTAAAGATACTCAAATTATTTTCGTCTGAAACTTTTAAGAGCATATAACGTCAGAAAAAGGGTTCAAAAGAACAAGATGGAAAATTCGATCCAAAAATTGGTCTTGTTCTTTCTGACCCTTATTCTGACGTTTTATACTCTGAAGAGGTTTAGACGAAAAAACCTTTAGCTTGTTAAAAATGTTTGCTTCATTCAAAGCTATTTTTAAATTTAGTAGCGCCAAAAAATTGTTCACATTTTGTTTTACTTACAGCAGTAACTGTGGCAACAGCCAGAAAGCATATTCTCACTTGCAACCCTCGTTAGCTTTTGATTTTTTCAAGCAAATGCGTAATACTTGAATTAATCGGTTGAGGTGACTAATAATTTTGTGAAACCCATGACTTATGACTAACCAAATTAGTTTTTGACTTGTGACTAATGCAAATTATTCCTAGTGCCTGATATCCAACAACTGAGGGCTCGCACTTTGGAACAATAAATTGAGCACTACCCTGTACTCTTCCCAATCAAAATGGTTATAATAGGAATAAAATCATCGATCTGTTGGCAATTGGGTATGGGAACGTTCACATTACGAAACCAATGATGGGTTGGACTATAAACTATCCCTTAATAGTGAAAACTGCTCTAGGTACGATAGAGGATAATACTTTCTGAACGTTCTGTTGGTGGCAAGCCATCTTATTTTGCAATCCAACTAAAAACTCATAGGCATCATGCTTTTTGTACGTTACAACCAGGAATTTTATACCCAAAAGAAATTATGACTGATTTTTGAACCCAAATCTTGACCACTTTTTAAAAAACTTTATACGAAATTTATTGAGAATTGATGCCCTCATGTACGAACCTTCTGTAAAACATAATGGAAAGTTAAACCAGCTGTTTTGAAAAAAACTGGTTTCAAATATACAACTATCTATTAAAGTATTCCAATCTTCCTTCAAACGTTTGTTACGGAATAGAGACTGTGCCTTTTTCAAGAAATTCTTTATCCTGTTACCATTTCTACGCGATGTTTCTCATGCAGAATGAGCCTATAAATCTGCAAAATCATCAATTTGCACAAAAAGGATGGCAGCAGGATCTCAAAAAATCCACTTTTCCAAGATATGTTATCAGATATTTTTCGAACAAGTTTAAAGTTTTAAGCACATATTCAATACCTGATCATAATTCCGCACGCTGATGTACTGGCATCATATCTTTTGTAAATTATCTCTAACTTTAGCGTAGAGGCAGGAGCAACATAATCATTAGGCTAGCAGGTGCTAAGGCACCCCTTTACTTTTTTCAAAGACATGCTGCAAAACTTTTGAAAATTTTTGAGAATGAAGTCATGTATTTCATCAAATTTCTAAAAATTTCGAGATCGAGTTTAATCGAAAAGAATCTCGTTTTCTAGGCCAGAGAAGTTGCTTTCTTTGTAAAATTTTGGATGATAGTGTCTCGCTAGCTGAAAATTCATCATTTGATACCTAAAATTGAGGGCAATTTGGTACCTATAAATTTTATCAGCCGTGTAGATGTTTCAAATACAGTCAGTTTGACCAAAGGAGAATCTTCTTCATGCCAATGCCAATTGTGAATAAAAAATTTGATTCTCAAAATGGGGCATGTTACGACATTCTAAATAGGGTGATTTCAAAGATTTCTGGGGGCCAACGATTCTCCGGTCCCCCGTTTCATTTCCTTTGACAATGTTTGCAACAAACTGATTTTCAGCTAAAGCAAAGTTTTTCTGAGCCTGTTTTACAACCCCCAAAGTTATGTGACTTTAGCACCAATTGGCGCCCTTTTGACTGCTTTCCCAGTGGTTCAAATAGTTGTCAGTCCGCCACTGACTACAGCTACCACTGATCACGTATAAATCTTACCAGGACATATCAAACCTGGCCAAAAGAAAACAGAGTAGCAAACCTGATAACGAAATTTTTTCTTTTTTTCCACCCTATGGAGTCAATATAGTATTTCTTTGTGAATAGGGGAAATGGAGTGGAATGCAATTACTGTGTTTGTAAGTTATTGATTGATCCTTAAAAGGCAAATCAACTGTTTCTAGCTGTTTCTTTTCATAAAATGCTGTTTTTAAAGACTTTATCTATTATCATGTTACATATTTCAATGTTCTTAGAACTGTTCATAACACAGCCTTACTGTATATTCCATATTTTTTTATGTAATATGAGGTTTGTCTATATAATACAAATCTATAACTGCTACTAATCTTTCAAAACTATGCCTGGCTAGCTTTATGGATACCCAAACCAAAAAAATTCGTATCCAAATATAAAACAAAGATAGAAATGGTATTCACTCCAATTATTGTGGTGTATTGTGTTTCATACAAAAGATGAGAAGCAAATATTTCTAGCAGTTATTTTCTTGCAATTGATAAATTCCAGTCTTAAAGTTTACATAATTACTTTAAAAGACCCCACAGACCTCGGCTTATTCCTTGGAATCTTAGCAATAACAGGATTTATTGCATTATTCTTTTTATCTATTTCTTTTCAAGTATTCTTTCTATTTTCTTAAAAAACACTTTTTTGCATTATGAAGTGCGTTTGTGATTAACTGTATATTATTTTTATTATTAAAGCTGGTTTTAGTTGGGTTTCACACGTAGGTTGATTCTATTATCTCATTTGATTCTTGATGATAGTTTGTATTTATTTGTCTTTATTCTAAAAACATCCAAATCAGTAGTATTTGGAGTATTTCAAACTGCAAAGTGAAGTAATTCATCACTGCACACTTTTCGATTTATCAATGCATATTTTCGATATATCACTGCACAAATTGGCCATCACTGCACCTTAAAATTAATCCTTGATGGTAACCTAATGTATGCATGGTAATATGCCGTCTTTGCATTCCAACCTTTCGATGAAAAGTTTTATTGCAAGCGGCATGAAATTCAGTACCTGTGAACTCAACCCAAGTTGAGTCCAAGTAGCTTTTTTTAGTGTAAACCAGGGATAATTAAATTAGAACATGGATGACAAAATATGTTGAAAGATGTCAAATGACTAAGCAAACTTATGAATTAAAGAAGCCTTTTCTTTTTTAATTTAATGAACTTTTGAACCTTCATTACAGGGATCACCAATATGTGCAGTGTCAAAACAGGATTGAGCATTGATAAACAGAACAATTATGCAGTTGCAATGATAAAACTAATATTTATAGATGATAAATTATTCGCGTTTTCCACAAACATTTATGTAAAAGATTATGAAAAAGAAATTTGATAGCTTGAGCATAGCATACTCATGGACACCAAGATAATTGTGATGGCAAATTGCTCCAGGGTTTTAGGATCTAGATTCTAGGGGCCTCACAAAATAATGAATTCCATTTAAAAGCAGAATTTGCCAGTCAGCGGAATATTTTGCTACAATAATTGAGTAACCATGGACGGCGCCAGGAAATTGAACCTGGGAGGGGGGGGGGGCTGATAATCAAGTTTGTGACATAGGATGACCCATCATGGTTGGGTCTGAAATGGAAGAAAATTTTCAAAATTCAGCCTTCTAGAATGGCTAAAACGCATCTTCCCGACAAAAAATTTAACAAATTACTATACCGCTCAGAACAGACAAATCAGTAATCTTAAGAAAAATAATTAATTATTGATTTTTAGGAAAAATTTGGGAGAGAAAGAGCCATGCTAAAACGTTAATGACAAACGTTGCGGAAAGAAAGAAAGAGTGAATTTGGTTCAAAGTGCACATCGATGTAAATAACAAGAAGCTGTTCAATTGATTTAGAAAATTTTACTTCCTAAACGGAAATGTGCATTTGTCTTGAGCATTTTCAGTAGGCCATGTTTACACATCCAAAATGCAGACATTGCAATTATACAGAATGTTGTTTACTGAATTGATGCAAATAATAGACAAATAATAGAAATATACCTAAATAAATTGGCAAATTTCAGTTTGTTCTTTTTCTGTACTCTTTTTTTAAAAATAGTTTTAAAAGACGGTCAACATTTTGTTTACCTTTGAAAAAGCATTATTTCGCTTTTTACCATAAGGCGAATAGCAACTGCATTCCTTTACTTATCGCAAAGATCATCTACAACTTTTGATAACTTTAAAGTATATGGCAATGTTATTTAACCAATTAATAAAAAATGGGTCACAAATTGGAAAAGATGCACAGAAAAATGTTCGATAGTAGCAGAGCATTTCTTCATCTGCCTAGAAGGATCTCCCGTTAAAGG